ACCTGGGTCATGTGACTGGATCATGTGATCCCACAGTGGCAGAACGATCAAGTTCACTCGCGGAACGTCGATTGAGTGAGAGCCTGGCTGAGGTACTACTGTATAATTGCACACAGAGGTCAAGACAGATTTGTGTGTTTTTAAAAACCAACCCTTTCCACACCTAGACTGGTGGTATTTTATATTGCACCCACGCAGCACCAGATTATCTGCCTACAAGAAATTAATGTGCGAGGATGCCCTTCCATATGTAAGGTTATTGAGCCCCTGTAATGTCTAGTTCTCATGGGCTGCCTACAGGAGCAGCTGAAAGTGAGACTGTTACCCACACCGTCCTGGATTCCTCCATTATACCAGCGACAGTGGACGCAGTTATCAGTGTGGTGTGTTGTGTTCGGCTGAGAAACTGGAGGACTTAGTGGCATCTTTTCTAGTAGGCACCGTTCTAGTGGCCCAAACTTTTCTAGTGGCACCTTTTCTGAGTGGCACTTTTCTAGTGGTCAAACCGTGTTTCTCGTGTGCACCTTTTCTAGTGGCAACCTTTTCTAGTGGCACCTTTTCTAGTGGCCCGTTTCTAGTGGCACCTTTTTCTGGCAACCTTTTCTAGTGGCAACCTTTTCTAGTGGCACTTTCTATGGCCCCTTTCTTTCTAGTGGCACCCTTTTCTAGTGGCACCTTTTCTAGTGGCACTTTCTATGGCACCTTTCTAGTGCATCTTTTCTATGCACCTTTTCTAGTGGCACCTTTTCTAGTGGCACCATTTCTAGTGGCACCTTTTCTAGTGGCACCTTTTCTAGTGGCACCTTTTCTAGTGGCATCTTTTCTAGTGGCATCTTTTCTAGTGGCACCTTTTCTAGTGGCATCTTTTGTGAGGCAAGGAACTTTACATTGGTTCCTACCTCCAATAATTATTCGTTAAGAAGCTCCCACTGTTGGACTATGCAGGCTGTACACGAAGAGAAAGCCTCTGAAGGTGACGTATGGAATGGGGATAGAGGAGCACGACAAGGAGGGAAGACTCATCACTTGCGAGTTTGAGACATTCTATCTCATCACTGCCTGTGAGTATCTCTTTCACCATCTTTCACCATCTTTCACCAGCTGCCGTGGAGAATGCACTGTTTCCCACTGTGTCAGTCATCATTTGTACTACCTCTAAATAAAGAGCACCTCTTAATAAAGGACACTTTCGATGTTCCCAAGGTGTCCCTTATTCAGAGGTTTACTTACTACCTCTCTCTCTGTGTGTGAGTGTGTGTGTGTGTGTGTGTGTGTTAGAGTGTACCAAATGCCGGAGAGGGTCTGAAGAGGCTGGACTACAGACAAGAGTGGGACAGAGATTTCAGAGAATATCTGGAGAAACTCGATTCCCAGAAACCACTCATTCTGTGCGGAGACCTAACGTAGCTCACAATGAAATCGGTGAGGAGAGAGAGAGTGAGCGTGAAAGAGAGATGGAGCAGAAGAGAGAGAGATAGAGAAGAGAGCTCGCTATATGACAGCAGCTAAGCGATATAGAGAGATGATCGAACACATCATAAGTGAGCAAGCCAAATGTCATATGGGAGCATTTCCGAGCCATTTTCACAGAGAGTTAATCACCTCCTTTCGAAAAAAACCTGAGAGAGAGGGGTAGTTCTGTTTGTTGTTGCAGATCTGAAGAACCCAAAGACCAACACTAAGACGGCAGGCTTCACTCAGCAGGAGAGGGATGGGTTCACACTGCTCCTGGGGGAGGGGTTCGCGGACTCCTTCCGTCACCTCCATCCCACCACTCAGCGGCCTTCACATACTGGTCCTATCGCTTCAATGCTCGCGCCAAGAACATTGGCTGGTACGTATAATTATGATATCCAGCTGATAATGGTAAATGTGGAAGTGGCGAGATTTGATATCACTGAAGATAATTTGTATGCAGTAACTGCCAGGCACCAAAATTAATGCCACACCAAAGAGTTGATCAAATCTCTCCTCTCTCTCTCTCTCTCTCTCCCCTTCCCCCTCTCCCTTCCCAGGAGACTGGACTACTTCGTACTATCCCAGAGACTCATGAAAGATGTGTGCAACTGTGTCGTGAGGTCAGAGGTTGCCGGGAGCGACCACTGTCCTCTGGTCCTCAGTATGGCAATGCCCTGAACTCCGTATACTCCCGTATTCGACATCTCTCATTTTGTATACTCAACTCGGTTATTTTGACTGATTTACGCGCATGCGTACAAGCGAGCAGCGGTGAGATGAAAGATCGAGAGTTCAGTTTGCAGCCGACGACGACTTGCTAGAGTGAAGATGGAGGGGAGTTCTTCTGCAGCGCACTCGAAACTGCAAGGTTTAGTCCGTAATACGTCGGTGGAGATGCTCGTAATATTACCACCACAGTAACGGCGGCGACATGCAATTTACCTACGTGATCATGTTTGCAAGCTGAACATGCAAGCTGTATCTAAATATCAAAGGCGACTCTCAGTTTCAGCTGCTCCCTCATTGCGGTTTAGCTCTCCCCAATCATAAGAATGTGCAAGAAACAAGCGAGTAGATATTTGTTGCTAAAATCTCCCGGAACGGTGTCGTCCAGCTATACTTTCTGGCAGGACTGTTGAAGGAGCTGGTTGATAGTCATGACGACCAGCAGCTGGGTGAGACTGCTGATGCGGCACTCCAGCAGTTGCCAGAGCTACCGACTCTGGACCGAGAGGACCGCCAGCAGAGGGCTCTGTCAGACCAGCTCCACTCCTCCGCCATAGCTCTCTGGAACAGGTATATACTAGCTACTGCAGCCTCATCTCTTTCCGACTTTGTGTCTGTTTCTCCATACATCATTTGTACTCCATGCAGCTGGGAATGTTTTTAATGCAGTATAATAATATGCAGCCATTTTTACATGATCTATACCCAGAATTTACCTTCTTTACATAGAAACTGGAGCTGCAATGCAATTAAGTTTCACCTTAGTGCACCTTGGTGCAAATACTTCTTATAATTCAGAATTCGTTTAGTGTTGCCACATGTCTTTATTGATCTTCTCACTACCACAGATCGGTGGCCCTCAAGGCAGCAGGGAGCATTAGTCTGAGTCTGAATGCCCAGAGTATGGCAGTATGACAGTATGGGAATGGGAGTATGTGTGTGTGTGTGCTCTGCAGTGAGACACGTGGCCTGCAGTCTGGTTCTCCTCTGTAACGCTCTACCACCTTCACCCAGTGTCTTCATCAAACAAATGACAGTAAGCTCCTCTCTCTCTAACCTGCTGGCAACTGGACTGACTTGTTCTGAACCTGTTTCATCTCCTCTATAACTACACAGATGGCGACAAAGACTGGCAGAGCATGGCTTGGTGAGCCCTCTCTCTCTCTCTCTTCTACTCATTCACTTTTCATTTCCCTCTCTCTCTTTCCCTGTTCCTCTCTTTCGGCTAAAGACTGCGAGAATCACTCAATGGCTGACACTTCACTTATACTAGCCACTGAGGTCCAGTTCCATTCCCCCATTCCCCATACCCAATCCCCTATTCCTCCATTCCAGTGCTGGGAAAAGCTGAGAGCTCATTTTCCATCCTCGTCACGCGAAGAATCTGTCGCTAAGACATTTTTCAAACTCCTCTGCTTTAGAGCTGAAGCTGTAAGCATGGCAACTACTGATGAGTCGGCAAGAGAGGGGTTTTCCCCATCGTTAACTGCAGGCAGTGGGTCAGGAGCAGCTGGAGACAGCCATGGAACTTCTCCAACAGGCCAGAGAGATGCTTCACGCATTGGAGAGTGAGGTGGGTTGGGTCTTATGTTTCGTACTTTGGTAAATAAGGAGATGGACAGGCCAACCAACAATCCTCAATACACTGTAGCAGAAGAGTGCAGTACATTTGACCAAAACAAAATTCTTAGTATACAGGAGAGATGATAGAAATACAGGTCAATGTTCTCCGCAGTCAGGCTACCTGGCAATGCTGTGCTACAATCTTGGACTGGATCTGTACCAGAAGACCTCTTACCAACACAGCGTCACCCTTCTCAAGTCAGTCTCCTCTTGTTTCTTTGTCAGTTTTTGTCTCCATTCTCTGTTCCTCTGTCAGTGTCTCAACTTCTTCTCCCTCTTCTCCCTCTATCCCTCCCTCCTCCCTCTCCTCCCTCCCTCCCTCTCTCTCCTCCCTCCATCCCTCCTCCCTCTCCATCTGTAGAGAGAGCTATGAAATAGGCAGAGGGTGTCCCACAGTTGGAGCTGTCAAACAGGTAAATTTATACGTAGCTCCTACTTTTTTGACGAACTAAATACAGCATTTTGCTGGTGTGAGTTTGAAAGAGATGAGAGAGAGAGAGAGATGGCAATTGTCTGCAGGCGAGAACGCTGCGACTGATGGCTAATGCCTATCTGGAGTGGGACGGCCAGACTTACTGGCAGAAGGCTCTCAATGCAGTCGGTGGGTATGACCCTGTTTTCACTTTCAATAAGCACACTCCTCCACTCCCTCCTTCAGGACTGGCGAATTCAGAACACAGTCATCCTGCTGGGCTGCTGTTGAAGACAAACATTCTCCTCCAACATAACGAACGACGGGCAATCTGGCAGACTGGAGGTCAAAGGACAGATGTTCTGATAATGTGTGTTGATTAGGTTTGTTGCTATAGGTGACACTGCTAGAGACACTGCGACACCCCGACATCACGGTTACCATGGCACTGGCCACGGTGCGTCGGTGCATTGAGAGTGGGCGGAGTGACCACGCCTCCTCTGGGGTCCGCGAACTCTCTGTCCGCTATAGGGGAACCCCCCACCTCGCACAGGTACGGCTTCTACACCTCGAGCTGTTGCTTGGCAACCAGCAAATCACGGCAGCAAAAGAACTAGTGGAAGACATCATAACTGGTAAGAAAGGGTTAAATCAACATCAGGTTAAAGTTTAACCCTATGTTGGATAATTCTGGATAATATTTCTAGCTATGGTTTTAACCCCATTGCCGCTGATTTTCCTCCCCCAGCGGACAACACGGGGGAGCCCCTGGACGTGAGTTCTCGTAAACAATTCCACGTCCAGTTCTGGGACCGAGCGGCCACTGCATACGAGAGGTCAGAGTTCGCGGAGGCCCTGACGTGGTACAACTATTCCCTCAGTCTTTTTCCGGAATCTTCCGTGTCTCCGGGAGACAAGAACCTCGGGAAGCTGCAGGTGAGGGAGAGGAGGAGCTGTTCCACCTGAGGAGTGAGGGTTCTCAGTGGTAGAATGAGGATATGAGTAGGAATTTGAATTTGAATATAAATTTACATTTTCTGTGAGTGTAGAACGAGAGATGGATGGTCTCCAAATGATTTTTGATCTCATCTCCATTTAGAGAAACAGGTGTTCCTGTCTTTTGTCACTGGACCAGCTGGACAAGGTGCCTCACATCACGTGATGATCATGTGATCTATATCATGTGACCATCACATGACTGCAGGCAGCAGATGCCATCTCCCAGGCGATAAGCTGCGACCCTGACTCTCCCTACGGACATTTCCTCGTCTTCAAAGTTGCCGTGCTCCGTTCCCAGGACGACGAGGGTTAGTCACGTGACAATCGATCACGTGATTATCACATGAGGTCATGTGATCCCACCAGCTAAACAGGCTCTGCATCAGATGGTGGAGTGTGGTGGTCAAGAGAAGGAGACTGTTACTGGACTAGTGTGTCTCGCTGCACAGATGGCTTTCGAGGTTTGTATTATTGTTTGTTTATTTGTTTGTTTGTATTATTGTTTGTTTGTTTGTTTGTTGTTAGAAGAGTCATCGAGTGCTGGCCACTGCAGCATTGGAGCAACTAATTCCCATGTCGTCAAATTTTCGCCAAATCTTTACTGCTCTCAGGTGTACATTCACTCTGCCCCAACAAACCATTAATCCTGTCCTGATAATTATTTCATTAGGTGTCTAATTAGACTAAAGTTGACATTCCTGAACGAAGCTCCGGAGAAATTGCAAGTCTTTTTCTTCTTCTTCGCAAATAATATTTAACCCTTTTCCCACCACTGTCAGAGGTCCTCTTCACAGCCTCATCTCATACATTGAGTCTGCCGAACGTCGACTCGCCCAGCCTGTGGAACGGAATCGGGACGAGGCCGACTGGTTCATGAAGATGGCATGGAACCTGGCCCTCCAGTGTGGCGACAACTACAAGGAAATGGGTGACCTCTTCTCTGCCTGCTACAAGGTTAGGCAGTTAATATTTTCACTGATTTTACAATCGGATTTTCGGATCATGAAAGTGATCGTAATTATAGTACCTTGGAATTCGACTTTGAAGAATGTTCCTCCCGTGAACTAATCAACCTTTGACCTTTGTCCCTCAGTTGTCGCAGTACCTGGTGACAGACCAGGCGGTGTTGGTGAGGAGGAAGACGTGTCAGCTAATGGCTGCCGCTGCAAGACTACACCAAGCCAGGGAGACGACTGACTTCCAGGACAAGGTTTAGGACACTCTGTCACTAATAGGACACAGTTTCAGGACACCCTGAAACTAGGGAATGTAGTGGAACCCCTCTCTAAGGACACCCATGAAATGAAGATGTACCTCTCTAATAAGGACACCTTTTCTTTCTCCAAGAACAGTTCTTGCATTTATTCAACCCCTGACACCTCTCACTAATATTTACATTCTTCTGTCCCACTGGTGCTGGATTATAAGGGTTCAACTGTAGTCCACTTCCTCTTCTCCAGGTCTCTATTCTAGAGCAGGTGTTGGAGCACGTGTCCGAGTGCCATTCCATCTGTCAGCAGATTGGAATCAGGACCAGTGACCCTACTGACCCCACCACCTCCATCCTCTCAATGTACGAGTACGAGGCCAAGCACGGCCTCGGACGGTCCGATTCTGATTCCGCTCTGGAACGGCTCTCGGCCCTCCCGAACCCTGACCCCAAGACATTTGAAGCTATCGCAGGTGAGCGTGTAGACGCCATGCCCTTACTATGTCAACTCCATGTAAAAACATTGTCTTCTTGTTCAACATGAGAAGTCCCATTGTGTATAACAAGGCCTGTATTTTGCTCATTAATAATTCATGAGGCATGTGTACCATACATGCAGCGCTAGCTATGCAGGGGCCGGAAAAGAGGCGTGGCTCGGCAGTGAAGGCCCTGAAGTGGTCCATCCACTTCCATCTTCAGAGACCGGAGCCTAACTGGTCCAGACTCAGGTATCTCTCTCTCTCTCTCTCTCTCTCTCTCTCATTCTTGTCGTCTTTCCTCGGTGCAGCAAGTGTTACCATAGCTACGTCCAGTTGGTGATGGAGGGAGAGAAGGGAGGTGACAAAGTTTCCATGGAGACCGCCTGGGGCATTCTTGAGGAAGTTGTTGATCTTCTAGAGAACAGGGCAGAGGTGTTGGATAATTCTATTTGCTGCAGTCTTCAAACGTTTGTGTGTGTAAATATTTGTTTCAATGTACCTATCACCAAATAGGCATCCTCACTGCTAGTTTTTCCGCCAATGAAAATGCATGGTCAAATAATCGTTGGAAACTCATTTAGGATTGTCTCTCTATGCAGGGGGCCTCCTACCCAGAGATGGAGGTCCTGTGGCTACTGACAAAATCTTGGAATTGTGGCATCCACCAGTACAGGTGGTTTAACATGCCACACTACATTTTCCCCTCCCCCTCCACCTTATCTGCTGGAGAGGCTCTCTCACCATCTTGTTGCTTCTACCCAATCCTAAAAGTCTCAAGTTTTAACCTCCCCTGCCTCTCTCTCTCTCTCTTCTTCCCCACTCCTTCCCGCAGTGTCCAACACTACAAAGAGGCGGAGCAGTGGTGTGGAATGGGAATGAGATTTCTGAAATTCCTGACTCAACTCAAGTCATCGTATGAAGAACAGGTCAGCCGAATATTTGTTAATCCACTGGCCGATAAAAGATTAACCCTTTGAACTACTCCTAGCGAGTAAGGTCCCTCGTTACACCTCCGGCCCATTTCCCTTTAACCCCACTAGGCAGCCAGTTTAACCCCATTAACACTAATCATGTTGCTCAAACCTCAAGATGGCGAAGGTGTATTCAGAAGTGTTGGCAAAGCAGAGTGGCTGTCAATCTGGAATAAATCTGGAATAAATCTGGAATAAATCTGGAATAAATCTGAACTGAACTGTCTTGCACCTATAATGGAACTGAAATTAATGGCTGAACCTAAATATTTGTGTGTTGATGGTATATACACTACAGGTGACTATTAGACCGAAGAATTAAATTCTGATAAGATTTTAACCCCGCCTGCTAATTTTACTAATTTACAGGGTTCATAAGGCTTCTGTAAACATCTGGCAAATTGATTAATATTTAGAGTTTGAGTGGCTCCGCATGGCCTTTAGCAAAGGTGCGAAGTGAACAAAGGGACATAAATGTTAGCACCAGACTAGGGAGCAGATGTTCAAGGGAGAGGAGAGTATATTATAACAGTTCCATTATCTTGCAATTGAAAGTCATACTGATTTGTGATGATGATGATGATGATGATGGTGATGGAATACAATGAGATAATAGATGACTATGTGTGATAAAGGAGTAAGTGTCAATGGTTGACAGAAGAGATTAGTGCCAGATTGGAGGGCAGCTGTTAGTGGACCCACTAGAGTGAAGTGACAACTGCACATTTTCTCAAGGGAGTAGGACGGAGAGGAGGACAAAATAATATTACTGAAGATCAAGGAACAAGAGAAGTAGGAGGGAGTTGAAATAGTTTGGTGCAGAGGAGAGAGAGGAACTGAAGCTCCAAAGACGGCAGCTGAGGTTGAAGACAAAACCTGAGCATGTTTGGGGAGGGGCATTGCCCAGGTTTGGAAACAGTCACTTGGGTGAAGTATCATTCTGAACTACCACAGTCTGAGGAGGCAGTAAGTAACTATCAGTGGGAGGGACTTCGACCGTTATTTCGTAAGTGTCTGAGGGAATCGTTCTCTCCCGAGTCTCCCCTGACGACGACGACGATGATGCTCTCTGCTGCAGTCGGTGGTGACGACTGGCAAACCACTGCCGCACAAACTCCCGGGACACACTCAGCCTCCCCGCTATCTCTCCCATTTTCATCACAGTCGGCTTTTCCAGAGTTGCAAACTCCAGTTCCAGCTGTTGTCTGGCATGTGTTTCTATTGACGTTGCTCTTCTTCTCTCTCGGTACGGAATTATTCCAGCCGTTAGACGCGAGGATACCTCTCTCCCTCCAACACTCCTTTTACTCTTGGACGAAGACCCTGACGAACTTTTCGTCGAAGATTTTCGATATCTGGGCTCTTTTTCTGTCTCTCTTGGAGTTTCGCGAGGAGGAGGAGGTGGACGAGAATGGGAGGCCAGGTGAGCTCCGTGTGCATTGAGTAATGGAGCAGACGAAGAGACCGAGACAGAGGTCTGGGTGGGCGGGGTCATTGAGGTCAGAGGTCGCACCAACGGAAGCCTCCAGAAGACTGGACCATTTTGAGCTGTGTGGACGAACTGGGGTCTGGAGGGGGGCCCCCTGAAACTAGTCAGGTGATGAGCAGTGAGGTCCACTATGAGATGATTGCCGCAGTGGGTGCAGGTGATGTTAATTGTGGTAGGGTAAGGGAACCGGAGCGGTACCGGTTGCAGCAGTTGTGGTCTTGGTAGTATCGGCAATACTGCCTGTCTGCTTTCGAGAATGGTGGTGGGCGGAGGAGGAGGTGGAGGAAGAGGGAACTGAGGGGGCGAGTGAGGGAAGAGCGAAGAATGTGGACGAGGACGAGGGTTCATTGTTGGGAGGTGAGTCATGGCTAGTGTGTAGAACGGTTGAGAGCGGTGAGGTGAGGAAGGAGGAGGTGGAGCGATTGGTCCAAGGTGGAGCGTGCCATGAGAATGGGGAGGGGGTGGGAACGGTGCGACAGGGTGAGGATGTGGAGGGGTGATCCCATTAGTTGGAAAGGACGGGAGAGGGGGTGGAAGGGGGGCCATGAAATTTGTTTGCAATCCCGAGACCCCCTGATTCGAGTTCTGCAGCGACGGTCCCGGGGTCGCAGCGGGAGATGGGCGGTTTGGCGGTCGCTGCTGCATCTCTTCCGCGGGACCTGCAACCAAAACGATACGTCGTCGCATGCAACTGTCTGCAAGTAAATCGCACGCTCGGCCCCAGAACGTGCGGAAAAGGTCGCCAGAGAACTAGTGACGAAGAGCTCACAAGTCGCGCCATTTGTGCACAAGAAACTTACGTCAGAGCCGAAGTTGGCGAACACTTTGCCTCGAACGGACGGAATGGACGAGTAGGAGCTGATGGTAGCTACCTCTTGAGATCTGGAACACTTCTAACACGGTTCGCCGAACAAAACTTGCTGTTCTCTTGCCATCTACATCTCTTCACCCGCGTAGTTGAGATACACGTGAGACTGCGCATGCGTAATTTGCTCGCGGTATAGGCGGCTCGACCGCAGCATTTTGCGAGGACAATGCAGTTTTTATATCGACAGAGAAAGAGATGGGAACAAACAGACAGACAGAGAGAAAGGCTCTACTTAGTTCAGAGGTCAAGTCTTATCTCCAAACCATCTCTTGAACAAGGCTTCGTGAGGTTGGCAGTGTTCGTCTTGTGGAAATTCCGGTCTTCGTCGAAGTCGCATGTTCCGAGCGACAAAGAAAGTGAAGACAGTGTAAAACAGTGATTTGTTGTCCTCGTTTGCAGCCGCCTCGAGAAACTGCCGCGCCGAGACAGTATCGACTTTGTCGGTGGATTTGATGAATCGCAGTGCCGTCAAAATCTGCCCCCTCGTGAGGAGAATGTCTATGATTTCGCTGTCTGCTGTCTGGAGTCTTTTGAACATATCCATCGCCAGTTGGGTGGCGGGAGGATAGACCAGTTCTCGTGAGAGGAGGAGAAACGCCAGTGGTTTTGAGTCACTGATGACGTGGTACTGCAGGAACTGGTGCAGTTGGTAGTAGCATTTGTTCTCTATGAGGAGGTTCATTATCATCTCGAGCAGGAAGTGCTCTACCATAATCGCCAGCTTGTTCAACGAGCGAATGTACTCCACAGCCACTGCGACTAGGAACTTGTACTGCATGTCCTTCCGATCGACAAACGGAACGAAAACCTGCGTGTAGATGTCCTTTTGTGATATCGAAACTTCGTATTTTTTCGAGGAGGCCTCGGGTGACAGCATTGTCTTGTAGGCGTGGCTGATTTGGTCGAACATGCCTCCTAGTACGCTGAGACTCGACTGTCGTCCTGGCTCCAGGGAATCGTGGAACACCTGCAGGATCACCTCCCTCCCTCCCTTCCTCATGAGGAGAAACTGCAGCAGGACGCACTTGTCTGTCATCATGTTCGAAACCGCTTTCAGGTTGAGCTGTAGCTGCCACATTACGCCGTGCTGAGCATCGACTACGATATTTGGCGGGAAAAACACCCATTTCGGGGAGTATAGCTCGGGGACTAGCTCTTTAGGGGTTAAAGACTGCGGAGTGAGACTCCTTTCTCCTCCTCCCTCCTCCTCCGCTGCGTCGCTTCCTCGCTGCCATCTTAGTAGGAGCAATCGACAGAGGGGCGAGCATAGGGAGGTGTTTTCTTGCCCCCGTCGTTGCTTGCGGCTCTCCGTCATACGAAATATCGAAGAGAAGCGAAGTCTTCATGCCCTGATGGTGAGCGACGACGAGGTTATCGACAACGCTCAGAGTGAATCTCCCCGACATATCGATGCTCAGACAGTGAGACAGCTTTGCCGGAGTCTCGGTCATGAGTTGGTAGAGGAACACCTCGGCTCCCTGCCCCGCCTGGGCGGAGTTCCGCATCACCGCGACGTAGATAACTCCGTAGAGCTTCATTATCATCACTTCTCTCTCCATGAGGACCGGCCGGGTCTCTCGCGATGGTGGTAGCTCGACGTCGAATTTGTGAAGTCGAGTTATGATGGAGGAGCTGCCTTCTCTGAAGGCAAAGGGGTGGAGAGACGGACTGTGCCCTCGCGAGCAGACGACTAGAACCAGGTCTTCGTGGGAGAAAATGGCCCAGGAGATGTTGATGTTGAAGGATCTCACCATCTTGAATGTCATTCGGTAGGGGTTGCATTGGTATAGCTCCACGGCGGCGGTCGTAACTAGGACCAAGTACTCGTTCTTGAAGACCCAGTAAAAGCCGAGTACGTCGGAATTGCTGGCGTTCTTGAGCGGCAGAGAGCGCTCCGTACTCTGCTCTGAGAATATATTGACGAACTCGACGCTCGTCTTCCGCCGCTGGATGGACAGAATCCGCGGGCTTCCCGGCGAGAACTTGATGGTGGAGACGGGTCCGCGGGCGGGGATGGTTATTTTGAAGCTGTCCTCCTCAGCGAGGCCTTTGACGCGGACGTCAGTGAAGCCGTGCTGGACACAGAACATCTGGAAGTTGCTCTGGTCGAAGAAGGCGCTCTCCACCTCCTCCAAAGGGTCGAAAGTGACGGGGAGTTTCGACAGTTCCAAATAGTGCGCACCTCCAGCCATCGCGCGCGGCCGCTGGACAGGAGCACCGCGTCGAGCGGAGTCTGGACTCGTCCCTCTAGCTCTGTCTCTCGAGCTTTGTGAGAGGCGCTTGTGTGAACACGTCTCCTCTTCCCCCGTCCAAACGCGCTCCCAACTCTTCACTCACAAGATTAACGACCACGCCCACCAACAATTACGTCATGCACGGTTATGAATTATTCATAATATGTACAGAAAACACAGGCAAGACACAATTATTGCAGAATGCATCAACTGAATTTGCAAATTGGTTTCACCACTCGTCCTCTGCTAGTCCTGGTCACCACGGTAACACCCTCCTCCCCCTCGCTGTCGCTAGATAGCCTCTGCCTCTTGTGAGCCAAGGCCCAGGATCTCGTCCGAACCTTGACCCTCGTCTCCTCTCCCTCTTCTTCTCCCACCTCCTCTTCCTCTTCCTCACTCTCGCTGTCTTCTAGAACCCGTTTTACCGGTTTTACCGGATGCCTATCCCTGAGAGTCATTCCGTGCAATTCTCTCCCTCCCTCCTCTCCTCTCACCCTCCTCCCAACTGATTGGACCGTCAAGATGGAAGATTCGCTTGCTGGGGTCAAAGGTGAAATCTCCACACTCGACTGCTCGCTAGCAACACTCTCGTTATCCTCTTCCTCTTCGCTATCATCAGGTTGCAGGTTTCTCCTCGTTCTTCTCTGCCGACCGGAGCGCCTTGGAGGGTGGGCTTCAATTAGAGGAACTGCCAATGTGGCCTGTGTCGCCGTGGCAACGTCGTCGTCGGAGAGGTTGCGGGCGAGTCGTCCCAGAGCGTTTCGGGTGCCATGTAGAGGAACCTTTGCCGCTATTCCTCCACACGACTTTAGGAAACTCAGGAGAATGTTTTCAAAGAATGCCTGTAGCTCAGTGGTCATCTTGTAGACCTGGAGAGAGAGGGGGAGGGGGGAGGGAGGGAGGGAGGGAATGAGGGAGTAATCTGTATGATCTTGCACAACACAGCTGGCTGAGTTTGGTAAAAGTTGATTGTTGTCTTGAATGCAATGTGCAGATTTGTACAGCACACAAACAAACAAACAAACAAACAAACAAAACAAAGGACAATTCCAAAGAGAAATCAGAGATGGAGACAGGTGAAAGGTGTGGCATTGGGCGTGGTGAACCACTGGCAGCCACTCTGACTGGTTCTCAGGGTATCTTATCTAAACTGTACAACCCACAGTCCACAAGGCCATATTGTGACACTGACACCCACATGGTGAGGTAACACCTGGTTTCCTACACACACCAGTGATGTAATGATGATGTAATAATATGATCATGTGATCAACTGTACCATTGTTCCTTTGTCATTGTATGTCTTGGCGTTGCTGAAAATCAGTCGTATATCTGTGATGATGTCATTTGGAATGATGTAATGTCTGTTTCGCAGCTTTCTCGACATCTTGGAGAAATCCATTGGTTTTCTTATGACGTCACGGTAATCCTGTGGACAAATTTACCAGGTGGGGGAATATGGACATCATTTAAACTGCAGATCATACGTACTACTGTATATAGCGGTTCTAGGAAATTTTGAGACAATACTTGTGCATTTTTATAGAGCCACCCGTTGAATTTTTTCAGCAGGAATTTTGCACCATTGTAGCCCTAGGACAAGTATTGGTAAAGGCTGGAGTTGCAAAATTGTAGAAATTTTTAAAAACCTACTGACCAGGTAAACGGAGGTGTCCACTGGATGGAGGAATGGAGATGAATTCTCATTAGCTTTTAGTTCCGCCAGCAACTCCTCAGCGTGACGGTACCACGGCTGTGTGGAGAGGGTTAAAACACGGCTGGAGTGTTGGGGTTAAACTCTTAACCCCTCTCTTACCTGTGGAGGTGTAGTTGACTCTTTCTCGTCCTCCTCTTCCTCCTCCTCTGCAGAGGAAAGTGGAGGTGTGGAGGTGTGACGATTGGAAGTGGGTGAGAGGGTGGGAGGGAGGACCCCATTATCCACAAATTCCACCTCTGGAACTGCAACTGAGGACAGGAGAGAGAGAAAGCCTTGTTACTTCATTTCAGACTTAAGTTTTGAGTCACGAAATTTGTTGTTGGTTACTCAATGCATATATAGTATATACGCCATAAGAAAAACAGGTTATGAACATGGGTTAAGAGCTAAAGAATGGAAAAAGCTGACCAGCAGATTTATTGACTCAAAATGTGAGGTTAACAAAGGGGCAGGAGGGAAGGAGGGCCTACAATATGGAATAGTACAAGTTGGTGTACATGCCAATGTAACAGCTGAGAGGTGGATGGAGAGAAGGGAGAACTGACCTTCCTCCACACCTCTTCCCCCCTCCTCTCCCTCTTCATCCTTGTAGAACACCAGTGGGTCGTGGCTGGCAGACGAGATGAACCGACAGAGAGTGTTGACAAGGATCCTGGCATGACGGACGATCAGACTCCCCTCTTCGTTGTACAGCTCTGCGTTTCTTCTCACCTGGACCACCTCCCACAGCAGAGCTATCTTACGACTGGACGGAAAGAGATCGAGAGATGTACAGTAAGAAATGTATACACTTTCAATGACCTGTGTGCTGCAACTCAAAATGGTATCAAAATTGTAGTAAGCCAATACTCTTTATTTACACACTCAACTGAGGCAGACATACCGGTAAAACCTGTTCTGTAGTCTGGTTCTGATTGTGGAGAGGTCGGTGGGGAAGGGGACACGGGTGCAGTAGTCAGATATCTCCTCTAGGTCCACCGGCTCAAGAAACATGGCCGCCTCCTCCAGTCCAGCCACCACCTCCAGCCCTCGCAGGATCCTCTCCCCCTCTCCTTCCTCGTCCAACCACCTTCCTCCCTCCTCTTCCACATCCTCTTCTTCACCTCCTCTCACTGGCTCCATGTCCCAAGGGCTGAGTTGGTCAGTCGCTCCATCGTCCCACTCCACGCGGTAGCACTGCCACTGACTCCCAGGGTAATCGGACGAAAACAGCTCCCGGCCCCGTACCACGCCGTACCAGTACATTCCGTCGATCTTGGAACGGAATCTGGACCCTTCTAGCCACGCCCTCTGAACAGATTTCTTGTATAGAGACTCCAGAACCAGGAACTCTAGTACATTGTCCATATCGTGGTACCTGGATAATTAGTGGGTGTGGTTTCCTGGTTGCGACCGTCTTGACTTACTTGAAAGTGAAAGTTATCTTCTCAGAGGAAGCCTTACTCGTGCCAGGGCCGTCCAATGTGGGCGGAGTCAAAATAACTATATACAAAGGAAAGTAAGGGAGATAAATTGGAACCCCTCTAATCTGGATACCATTGTGGTAGACGAAAGTGTCAATATTAGTCAGTTTTCTTATTTCAGGGGTTAAATTGCATGCAAGACATGTTCTTGAGGGAAAGAAAAGGTGTCCTAATGTGATAGAGAGGTGTTGAGGGAGACTCACCGAGACTAATGGAGCAGAGGGTGGGCGGGCCGACGACGAAATGAACATTCTTCACCTGACACAGCTCCTGCGCTTCAGGTGGTAGCGTTGCCATGGCATCTTTTGCGGTTTCCACGGAAACAACTTCTCCTCCTTTACAGCTTTTATGTAGAGTTCGTGACCTTGATGGAAGTAGACGACCTGGGAACAAGACATTGAAATATTATTACACTGCACCCACGTTCCCTATCTCGCTCAACACTGTCGTCTTTTCCACCACATCACTCTGAACTTTCTTCATTTTGACAAAAGGCGGGAGTAAGATAGGGAGAAAGGATGAAAGTTTAGAGCGAGATGGGTGGTCGAAGGCTCTCACGAGGTCTCCAACTTGAGGAAAGTAAGGAGAGGAGAGAGGAGAGGTGGCCTTCAGCCAGTCGGGAGGATGGTAGACAGTGAAGTCCAGAACACTGCGAACCTGCAACACACAGACACACATGATTTAGTTGGAGTCCTGCACATTGAGGACTAGACATTAAACAAGATTTATTACATAAATCCTTACACTAAACAAGACTTAAATCCTTACACTAGAGTTTTAACAGTAAAAAATAGTATGCATTCAAACAGCAATAGTTGAGAATAAAGATGCATGATTGGTGAGGTTGCAAAACCGTCTTGGAGACGAACTGGAGGAGGCTTTCGTGCTCTCTTCTTCTTCCTCTCCTTCTCTCCTCTCTCAGCCGCTGCTCGTGGTCTCTTTGCCTTCCTCCCTCCCTCCTCGTCTCCCTCCTCCCCCCTCCCTCTTCTTCCTCCTCCTCCATCTCCACGCTGCTCCGGCTCTCTTCACTGGAAGAGACTCGTTTCTTACGAAGTCGCCTCTTTCGTCTAGCTGGAGCGAGAAACACTACCCCTTCTTCCCTCGTCCAGTCCGATATGTCACTGGATGCAGTGCTGTGGGGATTACGTCACGATGATGTCATAGGGAAATAGACAAGCCTTGGCAAGTAAAGCAAGCCCATCTAAACCTAGTCTTCTGAATCGCGCAGTTTTAACATTTTTTGTTCGCTCATCAACAATACGTCGCATGCGTTCTAAAACGGCACAATGATGTAATGATGATGTCATACCTCTCATTGTCGACCCAGAGCTCTCCGTCTTCCTCTTCGCTCTCCTTCTCACTTCCTCCCTCGTCACTCTCTCCCTCCACCAACATCGGCTCCAGGGGGTCGTTGGGGTCAGGGAGGGTCCGCCCACTCCGCAGGGACCTCCCCTCTGTCGCCACGGGGACCGGAGACTGAAAAACAATGACTTAATCTAAATTTCGGCAGTAGTGTGGAAGGGAGTTTTTACAGTGGGAGTTGTGACGACAATCTTCCTACTCTCCTCGTCAAATGTGAGTTGTTCTCTCTGATAGAGGTCCCTCCAGCGAGCCTCCAGCCACCTGACAGTCACATGACAATCACATGACACACATAAATACGTACATAGATAAAACTCCCAACGGACTCGTGCGAGTTCAACAAAAGGGCAAGTTTCCCAGTTCATTGAACGCCCCTATTAGGACATCCCTGAAACGAGGACACCTTTCTTGCACATGCTCCAACCCCAAAGGACACCTCACTAATATGGGGAGACTTTCTAGTGTCCAGAGAATAGAGAGTATATAGTCTACGACTGGAGGTCAGAACTAACGCCAGAGTGGGAGTGTCCAGGGGAGGTATGACTGTGCGAGAGTGCCAGTGAGAGAGGTACTGCGCCTCCTCCTCCTCTGTCAGCCCCAGAGAGTAGACTACACTTGACAACATGTTCTGGACCGACTGGCCACGCTCCTGCTCTGTCGTCACGTCGACTGTCGGTTCCTCAGGGGGTGGCGGACCACTCTGTCGCTGTGGTTTCTCAGGGGGTGGGGGACCACTCTGTCGCTGTGGTTCCTCAAGGGGTGGCGAACCACTCTGTCGCTGTGGTTCCTCAGGGGGTGGCGGACCACTCTGTCGCTGTGGTTCCTCAGGGGGTGGCGGACCACTCTGTTGTTGTTGTTCCTCAGGGGGTGGGGGGGCATTCTGTCGCTGTGGTTCCTCAGGGGGCGGCGGACCACTCTGTCGCTGTGGTTCCTCAGGGGGTGGCGGACCACTCTGTCGCTGTGGTTCCTCAGGAGGTGGGGGACCACTCTGTCGCTGTGGTTCCTCAGGGGGTGGGGGACCACTCTGTTGTTGTTCCTCAGGGGGTGGGGGTGAGGGACCACTCTGTTGTTCTGGATTGTGTTGCTCGTCAGGGGGTGGGGGTGAGGAACCATTTTTTGTCTGTTCGGACACACTTGCTTGGCCTTCTTGTCCACCATCATTGGTCTCTATGGAAACGACTCTTGAACTCTCCACGACCTCTCGCTGCTCTTCAGCTGCTGCAACCCCATTAACGAGGCCCCGCCCACCACCCAACGAGCCGGTACCCTCATCCCTCCCTCCCCCTCTCTCCCTCCCCCCTGCCCCCTCCCTCTCAGCCATGGCAGACCGAGCACTCCGAAACTGGGTCCCCTCCAACCGGATCTTGTTCAGTCGCTCTCTCATTACCTCATCGTAGTCCTCAACGACATCATCAATATCGCCCGAGGAATCTGGTTTGACCTGTTTGACTGGTCTCATCTGCCGCAGTAGGGCTTCCTGGTGTCTCGCGGGGTGGGCGTGGCCGTCAATATCGACGAGGTAGGGAGGAGGGAGGAGATGGGGCGGTCTCTGTGATTGTTCGTCGACTACGAAATGGTTTCTGTCCCTCATCAGTGGACGGTAGTCCGTGTGGAAGAACTGCTCCTCTGGTGGCTAGGAATATGAAGAAGAAGAAACCTCATATTCGGTAAGTGTCGTCTACATGTATTCTCTGCACCACACTATACCGCCCTCCGTACATATATAGTATATAGTATATAGTAGGTAAAGAGGCTTGCAGTACCTGTTGGTAAGGGAGAGAGGAGCCAAGTCCAAAGAGAGAGAGGTAACCACTGCCGTCAGCTGCCGCACAGAGCGTCCCGTCGGGGGAGAGCCGACAGTCAAAGATGCAGGAGATTCCCTGCTCTCCCTCGTGCTGCATCTGGAAACTCTTTATCATGACCCCCGACAGGATGTCCCAGAGCACTATCAGACCATCGTGACCTGCAGGGGGCAACGAGGCACTAACTTTCTGCCCTTCTTTGCTTTTCTCACAATCTCATCTACAATTGCATACGTATTGTAAAACAAATTCTGCCCTGTCACAGCTTCACTTCTTGTACCACGCACCACAGCTTCATTCTAGGTACAATACCTACCACGAGTACACCCATACATAACCCTATAAACAAACGCTGCAAATCTTACAATCATCCACACACCCACCGGCCGAGAGGAGGATACGAGAGTCTGAAGGATGAGGCTCCACCACAAATACTTCACCTTTGTGACCCTGGGGGACAATAGAGAGGAGGGGGGGGTAATCGTATTAATCCCCAACAATTTTCAATGGTGATGCACCAGTAGATGATACCTTGAGCGTATGCACGAGGAGGCCTGAAGAGGCCTGGTAGATGCGTAGGTTGCAATCAGGGGAAAACGCAGTGATAACATACGTGTCCGTACACTCCCACCCTATCTGTAGGGTCAAAGGTCAGCTCACTAACATCGCCATGGAAACAAAAGGTTACCATGGTAACTTGAGGTTTGTCTTTACCCCAGTCGGCAGTCATTCTGTGACAGGGACAATCGTAGTTACGAGGTAATTAGTGGGTGGAGCTTACGTACTTGGCAATCTCTTGTGGATCAACAAGAAGGGGTTTTCCCTGCCACGCCCCCTCCCTGAATCTCCAGACACGCCCAGTGGCATCACATGACCCCGTGGCAAACACACTAGCAAACGAACGGTAGTCAGCACGGAATCTAAAAGTCATGGGTGAGCATTACTTACCTGTCAGTGCAGTGGCAAAACTGGATGGTCATAATTCGGTCCTGACAGGGTTAAAACACAGACACACTTAGCACCATATTAACCCCATGAGCACTGAATTCTGACCATGTGTCCAGAGATCTCAGCAGTGAGTGAGGGAGGCCCCGGGATGCAGCTGTACACCCTGATGATTCTGTCCGTCCCACCTGTTGCGAAATACTTGCCTCCTGCAATAGGTAACCACGGCAACAGGTGCTACAATTATTACATGTGGAATGGAATGGGGACGGAGGAGTGACCTGGACTGAAGGCAGAGCAGAGGGTCTGGTCTCCTACTCTGTCCTTCTCCATGTACTTAATAGGGGTGGTGCTAGACGGAAAAAAATAGAGGGAAGACAAAAAATTATGTCGGTTATACTCACAAAATTTACGGAAGTACAAAATGTATCGGCATGCACAATAATAATTATGCAGTTTGCATTAAGACCTTTAGCTGCTGCGAATGTGACTCACACACACCTCACCCGAAATACAAACTAGACTGGGGGTGTGGTGGGTGTGGTGGGTGTGGTGGGTGTGGTGTGTGATTGTAACTCACTAGAAAGTGCTGGCCTCGGAGTTCCACAGCCAGAAGTAGACAAAACCATCTTTTGTCGTGGAAGCCAGCAACCTATACGGCACACGACAGAGAGAGACGAGGGGAGAGAGGGTTTCTCTGAAAGAGAGATTCTGGAGATGTTTAACCCACCTCTGGTCGTCGTGGAGACAAGGAGAGAACTGTACGGAGGTGATGTGACCCGTGTGGCCTGTCAGAACTGCTGTAGTCGCTGAGCTCTGGGCACACCACACCCTCACCTGCAGCAAGAGAGAGATAGTTGATTGTTGTGAGGGAGAGGGAGAGAGAGAAGAACTAACCGTCTTGTCGAGACTGCCAGAGGCTATCATGGAGTTGTCCGGACTGAGTGACATGTCAGTCACCTCTGCTGCGTGTCCTCTCAAAGTAGCTAGGAGCTGGCCCTGGTCAGAGCTCCACACCTTCAGCAGGTCGTCATCTGCTCCCTACATATTAGAGAAAAGAACTTTCCGGAATAGAGTAATGTTTTTGGCTGTTGTTAGCTAGCGTGCCGTGTTCAATGGATGCTGTTTTCATAAAACAGTTAAGCTTTATAAAGTATTTAGTGGTCCAGGAACCCTCTCTGTGTTTGTACACAAAAATGCAGTAATATGTTTTACGTTTGAGCTTGGTGAATATGGAGTTTGGGTCCTCCAATATTGTGCAGTCAGTTAATCAAAGACACTATTAGTGAGAGAGACTTACGGTGATGACTCTCTGTCCCGTCTTGTCAAACAGTACGCAGTAGACTGGGGCCAGGTGACCTAGCATTGCACAGTGCTGTAGACACACACACACACAACACACACACACACACACACGGACACATGGAGACATAAAGCATCTTCCTCCACTAAAACGCAGTAAAAATAAGGACCTGTTTGAAGTCGCGGTACAGATTGGGTCCAGTGAAGTAGGACGGAGAGAAGGAAGGAGTTATCGCTCTCGCACACAGCAACTGACCTGGGAAACAAAGATAAAAAGATGAAGAACACAATCAAAGGTTTTGGAATTTTTTTCCTCACAGTTGTTAACCACAGGCTGTCCGCGACTGGCAGCAGTCAGCTCGGGCAGCTTCAAAACACATCGTAAAACTGTCCCTCCTCCACCTGTGGAACCATCAAAATTTACAGCTCAACCATGAAAAATTTTACAGGTTGGCAAGAAAATTACTGGTGGTGGTAGGAGCTCCAGTGATGTGGGCAGTGAGGTGGGAGCCTAGGAGACTGTTGAGAGACGGCGGGTGGAGGTAGCTATGGCTGCGCAGTAGCTCTTGCAAAGACGAACATATCTGCGCAAGATGCTCCGCTCGATACGTGCGGCGCTGCGCTTACCTAAACGAGCCGGCCGGCGTTTAAGATTAGTTACATCATAAAAGTTTACGGAGTGTAAACGTAAATATCCGACTCACCGCTTGCTCATATGAAAGCGGGACGTCTTCCCCGAGCCAATTCTTGCGCTTTGGCAGCAACTGCGTAGAGACAACGGAGAACACACACTCACCAAATGCGCTCTAAACTGCACAGCTACAGCCGTAGGCAACGTCCGCGGCTTGAGACGAAGCTAGGCGGGCGGGTAGAAAGGAGAGTTTTGCCGCGCTTCTTGCGCGGGTGGTGAGCGGCAACCTGCGCAGAGACCCAGGCTCCTTTAGACAGTTCCCACTCCCTCGAGAAACGCCGGGATTCCTACCACCAGGCCCTCCAACGACTCACCCCTTTAGTGGCTAGTTCTCGCCTCAACACCTGTGGCAAAAGAAAAGAGAGCGGAGTCAGGGAGTCCTCCAGACTAGCCTGCAACGCGCAGACGGCGAAAGAGACGCGAAAAGTGCAGATTTTTAGCATCAACTTCAACCCACCCTGGCGGCCTCCTGGCAAGGTCCTCCGTCCAGGTAGCGAGCTATCAGGAAGAACAGCTCTGGGGGAGAGGAAAACGAGTGAGAAGAGTGGTAAACTGGCCGGCGGAGAGGAAGCATCGCTCCCGAGAGACCCCACTTACCGCCACTGTCTACTTCCCTGCCGCGTACTGCACACGTCGGCTCCATCATTGATCTAATTCACTCCCGTAATTTACTCCGTATACTCGGGATAACAGACAATTTACAACAAACAACCCTAAGATCTAGGGCAGGCCTCTTCAAAGAAGGCTCTGCACCTGGTTCTAATGCGTTCTAAGAATAAGTCAATTCTCTGTCTCCTCTCTTCTGCATACTGGCTTGTTGCCTTGTCGAGTTGCGTCAGAGAGAGGGGCTGGGGGCTTTGCTCAGCCACGCATCTAGCATCCTCCTCTCTCTGTATCCTCTCCCTCTCTTCCTCATACTCTCTCCTCACCTCCTGTAATAACGAGAAGATTGTGTTTCAAACCTTTCTCCAAAGACTCCCCTGACATGTATGTACGTACCTGAAGAGCGGGAAAGTGTGACTGGTAGTGGAGAATGGCGGAGAGGAAGTTCCACACCGAGAACTCAGGCCACAGGACACTCTGGAAACACAGACATGAGTACGAACTCTGCCAGGAGGAGGAGAGGCAGAAAAAAGACAAGAAAGGAGAAAATTATTTGCACTTGCGCCATGTATAATGTTCTGACATGACGGAACTTTCCAAACACACAAAGACAGACCTGCCAGAGTAAGAAGTCGCTCAGCCTAATCTCGCCAGATGTCCGGATGACGAGATCAGGAGCAGGTGAGTCTCCCGTGTACAGACACCTCTCCAGCAGCTCCTCTGAAACGTCACTTGAACAGGAATGGGGGTATGGGATATCTGGAATGGAACCAGATTGAGGGCTGACCTCGGAAGAATGAGTCCTTCTTCGACCCCTTCAGCCAATACTCTCATACTGGTTGCCATCTCGTGTCGCGACGTGTACGCAAAACACACGTTCAAGTAGGCTCTGGAGAGAGAGGGAAATGAGGGATGGAGGAGGGAGGGAGTGAAGAGGGAGGGAGTGAAGAGGGGAGGGGGTGAAGAGGAGAGTTGGGAGAAATTAGGTGAGTCAGACACACACTGAGAGAGCCTACTTTGTGTTGTCTCTGGTAAAAACCACAGCCTTAGCGACCGACTGCTGAACGTCAGTTGGTAGGAGTTCAAGGTCCCCCAGAACTCTAATACACACTCCATGTTTCATTATCATAGCCCTGCGTGTGTGCATCGACCAATCAGATTTCACCACTCCAATCACTTGTAGTAAGTAGAGGGGTTACCTCTCTTCAAGGAGTTTATCAATCTTGAGTTTCGCCAGCTCCATTAGTCCGTCAACTTCCTCCTTTGAGCGTTTGAAATTCTCTATGCTGAATGCATAGACGGTCAGCTCGGGGACGCCCAGGTCGAAACACCATTCCAGCGTCTCTTTGAACTTCTCAAAGCCGAGCACGTGACCTCGCATGGAGTGGTTGTAGTGCATCTTCTTGGCAAACCTTCGGTTGCCGTCCATGATGATCGCCACGTGTCTCGGAACCTCTCCTGCTCGCATGATTCCGCAGCAGAGTCGCCTGAACCAGGCGGTCCACGTCATAGACGAAGAATCGTGTTCGTCCTCCGAAGCCGCGGCCATTTTGTTTTCAATATTTCTAGGTGAATCGACACTTACGGTTAATTAGAGAGGTGCAGCTGAGCCGGAAAAGGGGGCGTTGCTAAAGACAAGCCACTGGTTTTTCATCGAGGTCTTCCACAGCAATGGACGAAAGTCGATCGCAGAGTCGGAGGCGAAGGCCTCTCCCTGCGTTCTACGTGCCTGCAGACCCGGACTCCAGCGCCGCGCAGATCATGTCTGAGGCGCAGACGGAGTCTCCGGGTCCCTCCGACGCAGCGACCGGCACCCCTGCAGACGCCGGCGAATGCTGTTCGGTAAAAACAGGACTTCCAGTCGTCCACCGTCTGTTTACAGGTGAGCGCCCGTGAAAGACGTCGGCAGCTGCAATAAAAGAACAACCATCCACATAATTTAGAGCCACAAATCGTTCTTTGTTTTCTGCAGCATTGGAGCTCGTCATTTCTCAGAAAGCAGACCGTCGACAGCTCAGAGACTAGAGCCTCTGGACCCCAGATCTGTTCAACTCACTGAGGTACACATACGCACCCAGCAAGAAGAGACCAAGCTACTGTACCCTACACCAGAGCAACCAGTCTTTCTGCATTAGTTTGCAAACAAATGTTTACAAGCAAGAAGCAGCCAGTATGTGCTATTATACTTTATTGGCATAGTGCTGTAAGTAGCAACAGTTAACATCCTCTAAGTGATTGTGATTTGTTCTCTCCGTTCAGGTGCAAGGTATAAAGCCAACACCTCCAACTCCAGTTCAGTCGTCTTCAGATCTTCTCCCCCACACCCTCTCTCTCACTGACGTCACCTCCCAACTGCAACACTCTACTGAGACTCTGCCACGAGCAACCGCTATAGAAAATGGCATCAGCGGCCACAAAGAAGAAAGAAGGCAAATGGAAAGTCACGAGAGAGAAAGACGCAGTTCAGCGCCCCTCCAATCAACAGTAATCCCTCACCCACCTCAATCTTCCCCGGTGGAGACAACAAGGCGGTCAGGAGGAGCGAGAAAAAAGAAGAAATCAGAGTCCTGTCCTCCGTTCTGGGAGTCAGAGATCTCTCCACTTCTCTCCCGGCTGTCTCTTGGGTATCAGCTGGACCCGGCCCAGCTGGAGGAGACGGTGGACACTCTCCACCGGAGACTGAGGGAGAGAGAGTGCTGCTGGTCGATTAGGGGGCGTGGCAGGGTCGCGACCGAGGTCAGAGGTGTTGAGAGCGGTGTTCTCGCTGCTCGATAGCTCCTCCCCCTCGCTACTGGTGAAACTGGCCAAAATCATCATTTCTGTGAGTGTAGTCTCTCTCTCTATTGAATAGACTCTGTACAATTTCTGCCTGTCTCTGTTGGTACATGTATGTAGATGGAGGTGGCGGGGAAGAATCTTCTGAACGTCTGCAAACTCCTCTTCTCTCTCGCCAGAACTGAAACAAACGATGCTCTCTTCTCCAATGAGGACATTTCAGGTGCAGATACACAAACTATATCTCGATGTGTGACTGGTATATACTCACATCGTGACACAATTTTTTGCACACTCAGGCACCCCCTTATTTTGATGCAGTTTGATCTATCAAGGAAAAAAATTTTAACTTTTGCAACTAGGTCCTCTGTTGGGTCTACTGAGGCAGTGTGATGAAGTGTCAGATTCCGAGGCCCTGGTGTATGGAGTGGGGACAGTGAAACTGCTGGCCAGCAATGCCGACCTTCGACCTCAGCTGGTCGAGAATGGAGCACTCTCGTTTCTCCATTCTCTCCTTTCCTCTTACCTTCAACAGGTACACAGTACATTTGCTTTTACCGATCTATCTAGTGGTATTGTTCTAATGACTGCTCGCAATATAAAAGTGAAACGTGTTTTTTTGTCTGCAGGGAGAAGTTGATGTAGCGCCGTCTACCAACATTGAGAATGTATTAGTACAGGTAACACTGCAGTGGTTCTCTCTTTTTTATTGATTTTTAATACGAAATTTTGCATCTTGGTATTAGTCTGACAGATTCCCTCCTTTTTCTCTGTATGTGTGCCTCGATAATGTGTGCAACAGCTGACGGCAGCGTTGAGGAATCTTCTAGAACATTCCTCTCTCTCCTCTTCCCTCGTTTCCTCTGGCCTCCTCCCTCTTCTCGCTCGCCTTCTCTCCGTCCATCTTTCTCATCCCTCCATCACCTTCAACATTTCCAGACTTCTCAGGTATATACATTACTATAGTGTCTTTAGTGCAACTGCCTATCACGTAAGTAGTAAGCCAACCATTTTGTACAACTTAACTTCTTACTTTTTCTTTTCTTGTCTTCAACTTATTTTTCTTCTTCTCTAAGAAGTCCCTTTCTTTGATAAGGTGTGCCGTTTAATTCTCGTGCAGTAAGCTGACACTGCGGCGAGACTGCTGTGAGGCGGTCGTCTCCTGTCCCTCGTTCCTCCCTCTCCTCCTCCATGCTCTGACTCTACATCACTCCCACCACGTGAGCAGCAGATTAACAACGTAATGCTGGTCTTGGCACACATGTTTTCTAGCTCTCCTTAAGATGTAAGCCAATCTAAAAGCATTATACTGCCTCCAACTGATATTAACTGCCTCCTGACGAGCTGTAAAATTACAATAGCATAGACTGTGAGCTAACAAACGGTTTATTCTCTCTCTCTCTCTCTCTCTCTCTCTCTCTCTGTCCAGGAGATACTAGTGAGGGTGTGTTTCATCCTTGGCAACCTGACGACAGACGACGATGGCGTTAGATACGAGTTGTGTCTCACACACAAGGCTCTCTCCCCTCTCTCCTCTCTCCTCTCCTCCTCCCTCGCCTCGGAGCTAGAAAGAGATAGAGACGGTACAGCTGTCCATGAGAAAAGTCCCGATGAAGAAATCCTCATAAAGGTATTTTACACAAAACTTCAACCTTCATTTGTTCTTTCTCCCCAGTGGACAGTATAAGTAGATTCGAACCTCTATTAAATGAACACTGCAGATAAAGGACACCTCTCTATAGGACTTAGTGCATTCTAAATAGAGCACTCTGTGTAAAGAGTGGTCCTAGCATGTCCTACATATTGTGTGGTTCCACTGTACACATGGATACTGTGTGTCCTATATACTAGCTGGTGAGACTGTTGGCTAATCTGTCAGTGGAGGCCAGAGCTGGAGCCGAGGTGGCTTCTGACAAGACCATTGTGGGGGGTCTCCTGACCGTATTAGGTGATAGCACATGACTGTCTCCTTCACTCCTCCACACCCTTCAACTTGGTTCACAATAATGACGCATGTCCTTGCGTGCGTATTGCAACATACAAATCCAGTCTTTCAGTCCCCCCTCCCCCCCCCATCTCGCTCTTTATTTATTCTCTTTTCTCCCTATCTCGCTCCAAACTTTCAATTTTTCGCATCCCCCCCCTCTCTTCTCTCTCTCCAGAGTCCCTACCTCTGACTAGCTACAGTGAACTGAGCGTCAACACACTCGCTACTCTCAACAACCTCTCGTTTCACGCTCCCACAGACAGCTACCTTCTCAACCACCTCTTCAGACTCTCTCAATGTAAGGAATGAGTCTCCAAATAAGGACACTTCTCTATGATAAGGACACTTGGTTGTACCCAATACTAATAGTGTATTATTATTTTCTCCATCTCAGTGCTGGTTCAAGTACTGCTTGAAGACAATGGTGAACCTCTATTGGAGTGTGTTCGTTGCTATGGAAACCTCTCGAGGCACAAGACAGTTCGCGATGCAATTGCCAAGTCTAAAGGTATTCTCTTCCCTTCCTCCTCCTCCTCCTCCTCCCTATAGAAGTCTTTTCTCTTTCTCTCTAGTCGACGAGCTGTTGATAACGCTGCTAGACTCCAGTAGATATGAGTTGGTGTCTGCCAGTTGTGGAGTTCTGGTTAACCTAATGGCGGACTCTACCCACAGAGCCACTTTAGTCTCTGCTGCTGGCGTTGACAAGTGAGCTAGCTCCTCCACTGTGTGACATGTGGAAAGAGAAAAGTACAGCTGTTTGTTTATAGTCTTATCAGTGTAAATTTGTGAGTAGGTCCTCGTTGAATAGGAAACTTATCCCATTTTCCTGTTAAGTAAAAGTGACTGTACGCGGTGAAAAACCGGTATGATAGCATTCTCGCTCTTTTCACTCTCATTTCGTTTTCTCCCTCCGTCCCTCCCTCCCTCCCTCCCTCCCCTCCCTCCCTCCCTCCCTCCCCTCTCTCTTCCTCTGTGACTCCAGACTGCTGGATGTTCTGAGGGATTTTGGCAGCAGTGACTGGCACCTGGCAAGTCTGGTGTGCCAGATACTGTGGAACTTCAGGTAACTATCTCATCTTCTTCCCAGCACCTCCTCACCACTTCAGAGATATAGCATTTCGGATTCACGCGGTGATATGTATATGACGTGATGTAGTAGTTTGTGTGTCGGTGTGGTGTGGTTTACAAGTGTCTGCTGACACTCCCCTTCTGCTCTGTTGTACCTGCAGTGCTGAGGGTATGACATCATCCGTTGCTATTTTTGGTCAGGAAGAGGTAGAGCGACTCATACCCCTCCTACATTCTTACACAGGTATATATACACACATGTATTACCAGATGTATGTACACCAGATGGTAATGTTGCAGTATGAACTCCAAGTATAGGACACATGCTGGAACTATCCTTTATACAGACGTGGGGCCTTTATTCAGAGGCCCGGTGTGTATATATGCAGTGGCCTCTTCTCAAGAGTTTTGGAACAAGATAAAGCAGAACAAAGCGAATGTCCTTTATTTGGAGTATGTAATACGAGTGGTGTGGTAGTGTGTAATGTCGTATCACTGGTGTCTATGGCACCATGTACTGATGTTTTTGGCTGTCTCGTGTACCAACGGTCTGTGTTTGTGGTTGCAGAGGTACCCGAGACAGGTGAGGAGGAATGGAGGGAGCATTTCATCCCCGTGGCAACCAGTCTCCTGGACAGAGTTCTGTCCCACCACACACCGCTTCTCCCCCTGTCAGACCCCACGCCCCTACCTCCAGTTAATTAACCTCCCTCCTTCCCTCCTCTCCCCTTCATCACCTCACTTTCTCATTTTTCAACGCGAAAGACCCGCTTGCCTTCCCCCCTCACCTCACTACATTGTATATATAGCTCCACCGCTTTCAAAATCACCCACACTCTCTTCTTAACTTCAATTACTTCAATGTTGTATATAGTCATGATAAGTAGTAATAATAATAGATCCAAAAACAACTGTACATATGTTTAGATGGTAGCATCCAATACTGCTACCCAAACTGAAAACAATAAATTATACCTGGACCAAAAATCGATCAATAAATAGTAAAAACTGACGCGTAAGATAAAATGATAAATAGATATCACTGTTGATTATGTAGTACGTACGTATTGTTTACAGCTGCTGTTGCTATGGTGATGGAGGTGTGGCCGGCTACGATCAGATAAGAGTTATTTGGTAAAATGTCGGATGATGGAGTACACACCAAATGCCGTCAGACCAACCAGTCCCATTCCGGTTCCAATCTTGACTGCAGTCCATACCACCCTGGAGGTCCGGGATGGAACGGGTACCTGAAGCAGTTCTCGCAGCTGGGCAAGGCATTGGAGATCTAGCCAATGAGCCTGAATTCCGGGGATGTGCCCGATTCCGACCACACCCACCACGACAGCTGGCGGTCCCCATGGCTCCTGGGCACAGTTCGCAGCTCGCATCAGCGAACACGCCAGAATCTTGTCCCGCTCTTGCACAAATACCTCTGCGACTGCCGGCATCTCGGCAGCTAGCTCTCCGACCAGCATTGACACCATGTCCTTCTCTCTCATTGCCTCCACCTCCTCCGGGGATATTTCCAGGCCGGAGCCCAGCGTGCGCAGAAGGGTCAGGCCGAGATGAATTCTCTTCCACAGAGACATGGCTGCCATGGCTCTCTTGAAGGTGATGCCAACCGATCGATCTCCGAGGACGACCCCCGCGTTTACCTTCGTTGCTTCCTCGAACCCCGCCCGGAATTCCCCGCCGGGGGCCACGCCCAGCTGCGCCGTGATCTTGGCGGACATTTGGAGGAAGAGGGACTGCGTCAATCCGGCAACAACTCCGTCTCTTTGGACGAAGTTACGAACCGTGGAGAAAGACATGCTCTGGCCTTGCCTTAGAATGTCCTCTTCACTGTAGTGGAGAATGAGCTGTCTGTCCTTGCAGAGCTCCAGAACTACCACCTGAGAGAGAAGGGGGATAGAAGAACCCTCTGAATGCCTAACAGTGTTCTATTCTCTGGACACCTCTGACTAAAGCGCACTAATCACAAGTTAGGTGTCCCTGGTTCAGACGTTTCACTGTAACCAAAGGACAGAAGTAAAGAGAACAGGGAGTCAGGTCAGCGAGAAGAGAGGTCGAATCGCGCTCTCCCGCCGTGTCGATCCCCCTCACCTGCGGTCGAGTGCTTGCGATGGTGTTCCGTACGTCCTGGACGCTCTCCTTACTGAAGTGGACGGTGCCCACTACATGAACGACGGAGCCGTTCGGACAGGTCAAGGTGGTCACCGTGTGTGGAAGAGACATGATTCGCCGTCTGGCCTACACCCACACGGACGAACAAGTCGATATCTGCTGGCTGTGCGATAATGCGAGGCGTTTTGAAGGCACTGCGAGCAGAACAAAGCGATGAGATCACGGGTGGCACTAATTGGAGTAACATGCTGCGTAATGTTTGCTGACTCAGCAACCGCAAACTCCAAACGCAAAGCACGCACGTATACAACGTTTAAGTTGCGTTACTATCACGCAGATATAACGATGACTCAAAGACACATGATGATGAGTCTCCTAGCAACCAGAATGAAGATGCAGATGAGGAGTAGGACAATAAGGAAAAGGGAAAACCCCCCTGGCGGACCACTGGGGGCAGGTTCACTGGGAGAGGTCAAAGGTGACGGAGAGACGACAGACGTCTGTTGAGGTCTCTGTCTTAGCTGAGTCTCTGGGTCCTCTCTGGCCCCGCCCACTTCTCCAGCTGCTGTTGCCTCGTCTGATTGGTCGGTGGGTGATGATGTCACAGGGGGTGTGGCAGGTGAGACATCTTCGCTCACTTTACCAGAATCAACAACTTCATCTGTGTCCTGCTGATCTCCCTGCTTCTTCTGAGGTTCTTTCTCCTTCTCTTGCTGTTGTTGTTGTTGTTGCTGTTGTTGTGGCTTTTGTTGTTGTGAAAGAGCCTTCTTTTGTTGTTGTACCTCAGCCTCTGACTGCATAATTATAACACGCGCATCGTAACTCAATAGTCACATAATTATTACTCTTGCCTTGAAGGCCATCTGAGATACAATGTCAGCTGCTTCTTCCATGGCCTTTTTCTGCACTCCTTCCTCCGTTCCTTTTGAATAAACACAAGTTCAATACCGCAACACTGACATTACACTATGCACCCGGCCATTCACATGTAACACACACACACACACAGGTGTCCCACACATGCACAGAAGTATGTATTCCATAGCGGGTCCATTTTAAGAAGCCTCACTATCATGATACCACATGAAGGTATTAGACAATGTGATGCCAAGAAAAAAAAGATGCGGAGCTCTGGACACATGTATTGCCTGACGTCAACTGGTCTGCATTGGAATGTGACTTGTACTTCTGACATAAAGTGACTAGTGGACCATGGTACAGTAGGTACGAACCAGTGAAATGTGTTAGGTATAATGTTTACTGTATATACCAGAGGAGAGAAGTTCTCTGTTTGGAACTGCACACACCTCACACTTCCACTCCAGAGACCTGTCATCATCAACACAACCACCATTCATTACTATATACCAGGGAGGGAGAAATCTTGCAAGAATGTAGCTGACATGTGTAAGAAACTCCTGATAATGGACAAACCATCCACAATCTTTATGAATCGATAATGGACAAGAAATTTATGGCATTATCTACTATCCTGAAAGTCGATCGTTGATGTCTTGTAGTCAGTTGTGTATTATACCTTTTGGCCAGTCTTCTTCTCTCTACAGTTGGGCAATCGAGAGACCCGACTGCACCAACTCCCTCTGTTGGCATGAACCCTATGATTGCCAGTAATACTGTCCTTACTGTTGGGGAGAGGAGAGAGAGAGAGGGGGGGAGAAGTGTAATGGGGGAAGATAGGGGGAGAAGGTAAAATAGAAGGAGGATGTTAGAAAGGGGGGCGAAATGGGAGAGGGCGAAAATAAGAGAATGGAGATGGAGAACGGGAGAGAGGTGGAAGAGAGGAGAGTGTTGCTTACTGCTCCAGGAAGGTTGCCAGAGCTCAGGGTGGTAGGAGGAAGCAGAGAGACAGATCTTCTGGTGTAGAGAGAATCTCCCATTTGGCTACAACAACAGCAACACACTTTGGTGAGTCTTTGAGAACCTCCATTATACATAGCTACATGGTCGTCTTTCATTGACTGACATGAAAGCTCCTCTGAATGGAGGACCACCGGGAAAAAACCTCCATTATACCTACATTGCTACATGGTGTCTTTCATTGACTAGCTCCTCTGAATGGGGGACCACTGGCTCAACCCTGAAACACTACTATAGTCTCTGCTGCTTAGGTGGGCATTGATACTCTCCACTTCACTAATGATGTCATCCAAAACTAAACGCCCCTTGAAAGTGGCGTAAAATGCTCCATCGAGCACAGCGCACAGAGACTGCTAAACCACAACGAAAACAAAGTGCATTCAAAAGCACTGCACGAGGACAAGTTCCTCCATTAACCCCCAATGAGCCAGGGTCTTACTCACCGTCATGAGGATAATGCTGGGCGGCTTCATTGGGTACTCTGAGGGCAGAATAATCCGTCCGTGATAGAACCCTCCCTCGAACTCCGTCCCCTCCGGGCCTCTGATAGTGAAATGCCACTCAAACAAGTTGTCCTGTATTTTTTTAAAACAAGGAGAGAGAGAGACAAATGGAGGGTGAGGGGGGAGAGGTGCAGCACGTACCTCTAGAGGCTGGGCAAAGTACATGAAGGTGGGCTCTCGCAGCTCCATGGCCTCTCTCATCAGCCTCTTTACAGCTGCAGCGACCGGAGACGAGGGTAAACTAAATAGTGAAGTCTCGTTCCTAGGGCTAACCTGGGCTCCTCGTGTTGTACCGTTGCTCCATTATAGCTCTCTGTTCTTCTGCTCCCTTGGCTCGTGCGTGAGTAACACCGCTTTTAATGTTGTTGTTGGCGCTAAACTTAGGCGCACCGACGACGCGCACACGTCTAATTGGACGATATCACGCGCCGCAAAATTCGCGGCTTTTTTTGAACGACAGAGAAACACGGCATGGAGTATATAGAGAGAATGGAGTCCAGAGGACGCAGTGTTCTTGGAGAGGTAGCAGCTGCTTAGGAGGAATAGACCGCCAAACGAGATCCTCTCTTTTTCCCTGCAGGTGAAAGTTCACGACAATGCAGCGGCTTTTGCCCCCAGACGAGAGATCCCGCGCACCCCTCCCCGGCTGTTCCACCACCAGCCGCTCAAACCAGCTTCTCCCACCGTCTCTGCCTCGGTCAAACCAGGGGAGAGGGACAGTGGTCCCCGTTTACATGGGAAATCATCAGCGAACCCCTCAAAATTAGGAGAAGGGGGTTGCGAAAATGACCCCCCAGCCAACAGGGGTAGCCCCTTTAATCAGAGAGGAGCTCAGGCTCCGTGTTTCACTCCAAGAAAGTCTCTAGCACGATCCCCTCCTAGACCAATAGTGAGTGTTTTCTCTCTATAATGACTCTCTGAATAATGGACGTCTCTCCATTCTTTGTCAGACTCCGACTACTCCAAATAATGCCCCTCCACCTACAAGATTTGAAATTCCACGCACTCCTCTGGCCATTAAGCCAGTATCTCCACCTCAAAGGAAAGTTGAAGTCCATCAGTTGCCCCGTGTTGAATCCAGGACGTCCCAAATTCAACCTGCCCCGGCCCAGAAAGAGCCTGCACCACCAAAACCTGTCTCACCTCCCATCATCACTGCAGATAGTGAGTCATCATCCATAAAATGGAGATGTTACTTTCTCTCTCTCTCTCTCCACTGTCAGAGGGGGAGAAGAGAGGCGTGGGGTTGTTGCCAGAAGGTCTTGTGTGTACGGAGAATGACCTGGCCTTCCTCCAACACGTGGAGACCATTCAACAACACCAGCGACTACAGGTAGTAATAGACACAACATACATCTGTCAGTTAGTGAACTGCGCCAACCTTCTACATGCATTGGTGCCTGTAGAAATAGCTAATATCCTCAGTTAGGTTGCTTCTACATGTTTATGTATATACGTAGCTCAGTTGCTAAATATGGCATCACGATATTATTATGTGAAATGAATGAAGGAAATTGTGTTTGCATACTTAGGGGGAGTTGTCTGAGCTGGACAAGGCAGTGAAGACGGCTGCACAAGAGAAGGAACAACTGAGTCACCAGGCTCAGAAAATACAGACCGATGTCAAACAAATGGTGAGAAACTTCTTTGACCACTAAATAATGCAAAATTTTCGCAGTGCGTGTAATTATAGATTGACAGGTTTTGAAGTTTGTGTTTTTTTAACAGAAAGAGAAGTATGTGGCGACGCTCTCGGGTGTTCGCAGTCTTCAGTTGACCTCTGATGACCCAAACTCCGCCCACTTAACGGGCGTGACTCCTGAAGAGCTGACGACGGCTGAGCTAAGCCACGCCCACCTGGCGAGGCTGCGACAGACTAGGAAGCTGATGGCAGTACAACTGGAGAAGACGGAGAGGGAGATTCAGAGAAAGACGTCCGTCCTATCGCAGGAGAGAGAGGCAGTTGAAGACAAGAGGTCCGTATATATCACCAAGTCAAAAGTTGATCCACACAGACTGTGGTGTGGGTGTAATATATACCTCTGACTAATATCTTCTGTGTTTTGTAGAGTGAAGGAGAGTCTGAATGTGGAAGAATTGAGCAAAGACATTGAAAATGTCCAGGTTGGTTTAGTCACATGTTTATTGTGAACTAGTGGTGATCTTGTGTGTGTGTGTGCAGCTGGAGAAAAGAGAGTGGGACGAGAGAGTGAGGAAGGCTTCCGACACCAAACAGGCCATGGAGGTGAGTGGGGCACTAATCTGATACCAATGGGAGAGAAGAAAGTGTCCATATTAGTGAAATGTCCTTATTTCAGTGGTGTCCTTATAGAGGGGTCCACTGTATGCTTTCCTCGTACATCCAAAAGTGCTACTATCTTGTCTCTCCCGTCCAGAAAGAGTTGGAGTCACTGCAGTCACAGCTAAAGGCCTCGCAAACTGACCTTTCACCTCCACATACACAGTCAGCTAGCAGTGAGAGACGTGAGGCCGAGGAGAGACTGCGTCGTCTGGTGAAACGATGCGAACTTTACGTCAAGAGGCACGAACTACTGAAACAACTGAGACAGCAAATCTAGACATTATAGACACAGTCATCATTTTATACCCACATACTTGTCAGCCCATTAGTTTGTATTATGTGCAGTCAGCTATGCAAGTCCATTTTAGTTCCACATGAATCAAAGAAAACTGGGCATTATTGGACACCCAATCAAGTGCATGTCAGCAGTGTACTCAAGTTCCCATCAGCAGTGCACTGTTTCAGTTGACTGGGACATTGCTGAAGAGACCATCCTTGAGCATGAATTTACAAAAAACAAAAAGATACCAGACAGAAACTCATTAATAACCCAGTCCCTACATCTTTTTATTCTTGTGTGTTCGGAACTTCGGAAGCCCCAGCTGCAAGCGAAACGTGAGAGCTGCGTGTGAACAGTAGCAGGCGCTGGCTGAGGTTGACAGGTTGTGGCGAGATAACGCAAGTGCTGATTACGAAACTGACTGGACAGCTGGAGGGCTAGGGCTAGCCGGCCGCCTGCATGCCAGCGGGCGCGCGCGGCGGGCGCACGCGCACGTGCACGCCAAACGTCGCGCGCTTGGCATTGCATTATCATTATGCATGGCAGGCAAGCAACAACCAACAGGATTTGTCCGGACCACCTCGGATTTTGCATGATCCTTCCCCGCGTTCCTACAAAAGAGCAGCTTTTCATGGCTATTTCGTTGCGTTTCGTCGTAGAGCCTAGCCATTAGCCTCTCCGCCTCCTCGCGTTCGGTCCCAGTCCGTTGGTGACTGTAGTGCTCCGTGCCACGAGAGAAGCCAAGCCGCAAGATGGCAGTATTCGCGAGCGTAGTGGTCCTGGATGAAACATTGAGTTACGTGCAAAGAAAAGTTTCTGACGGTGGTATTTTCCGCTTGTCGCCAACTGATGGATTGAAAAAACGGCCGGCAACGCTGAGTCCGATCCATGCCTCCGACCTGCTGGTGGGGGACAGCGAAAGTTGCCACTTCAAGAAGTTTGGTGTCAACGTCGGCTCTGAAGAAGTGAAGTGGCTCTTGTCTGGCCTAGAAAGGGTGTTCTTGTACCACAAGGAGAAATTCATCCGCAAGCCGTTCCTCGCACCCATATCAACCTGCATAGGGAACATTGTTTCCAATTTGAGCCTGCTACTGGGTGGTCCCCTTGATGGCGAAGGACACCCCATTGCGCCATGTACCGTCCAATCATTGGCTGAGCTAAGGTTTGCGATAGCAGATCCCATCGTCTTGATGATCTGCGCCTTTTGGGGATACAAGGTAACAAAAAATGCACATGCATTTGAACCTCTGCAAAAGCTACACTTACCCCCAACAGTTGCATCATGAGGAGACAGTGAAGGGAAGCTGCAGCACCAGTGATCAGTCCCCCAGTCACACCAGCAGAAGCGTCTCTGGGAGTAGCATAGCAAACTATTCCATCTACACCATCAGGAAGGGCGAAGCTGTTGTGGCCGTGCTAATGGCAGCAAAGCTGACTTACAACAAGAAGTTTCAGCATGCTCTGGGCCAGGTGCGTTCCCAATTCAGTTCTTTGGGGAGGGCCTATATAGCTCCCTTCTCCCTTGCAGCTCCTTGGGTACTACATCAAATTTTTGACAGATGAGGAGAAACCTCCCCTCTGCTTTGTTTTGTCGGAGAAGGATGTGCAGTTCTTGTGCTTTCCATACAGCCTTTCAAGAGAAATGAAAACGAGAGTGGTTTCAGTTGTAGACTGCCTTGTGCTACCAGAGCTGCCGTTCATTGATGAGTCCCGCCACGGTTTAGTCAACCAGCACTTGCTGAGTCTCATGTTATTGCTCAGCAGCAATGAGGTGGACTTGTACAAGGACTATACTATGATCCTGCTAAGAGATGCCACAGAGAAAGATTCTTTGAAGACACATATCCAAGGAGGAAGAGGCACCCAAGAGGATGAAAGCGGAGAAACGAGTGAAGGAAGCGGAGAAAAAATGGAAGGAACTGGAGCGGGAATATAGGAGGAAATAGAAGGTGGCACAGCATCTTGGAACACGTGTTTGCATGCATTGTGTTGTTTGTGTATCAGTACTTTTCGCATGCCACATGCCAAAGTGAAGCTTCCACTTATGACACTTATGAAAAGTGCTGGAGTGCAAACCTTCAGTGCGGTGCAGCAGAAAACTTTCGGGGAGCTATCTCCATAGTAGTGCATGTCCTGGTCTCTGGTTGGGAAAGCAGCTGCCAGATATGCCAGATATTGAGCAGACTGGCAGCCATATCTGCCGAGTCTTCCTCTCGGAGGTATATACCAGTTCTGGGGAGACGACAGGGTTGCCAGTAAAGCACTGCTTTGCTTACTTGGTGACATGTGTCAAGTGCAATGCCTTTGCTATAGGAAGTGGGGCTGGCTGACGAGTCCTCCCACTATAAACATTGGGACGAAAACCATCTATGGTTCCCGGCCTTTCCCTATTCTGTGGGTACAAAATACAAAGATAATTTGACATGTTCCATAGTAGTAGCTAAGTCTGTCAGTCTGCATGGTAGTTCTGATAGCCTTGTTATTCCCAGACCCCAACCCTCCATTAGGGTCTGGTGCTAAATCCCCCCCTACTCACTATAATGCCATAGCAAATTGCATTTGGATGACATGTCTCAATTCTGATGATGACTATACATATTACAGGACGACAGTTACACAGACTAGAGCAGTGGTCTCTCTTCCCTGCCGGCCAGTCTGTCTTTCCTTCTTCTCTCCCATTTTACCAGGCTGTACACGCCAAACGGAACAACAAACGCCCAGAAGAAGGCATAGAGAGTAGTTCTGGGAGTAAACTTGAAGTGTTCCGTCGTCGTCTCCCTCATTCGGCCCCACTTCTCTATCGCCTGAGACCTCTGCACGAAGCATAGTTGACGGTGGGCATTAATTGGAATTGCTATAAACAATGCGTGTTTCTACTCACGTCTATGTGAGCCCATTGCTCTGGTGGCTTCTTCGGTCTAGTTATGACTTTGTGGAAATTGTGGGCCATCTCTACCACCTTCAGATGAGCACCTGGACAGAATCAAACAGCAGCTGTGTTTCGCAGGAGCTGACACGCCTACTTTTAGTGTACACATGCGTAAACGTTTGCATGCGTCAGCGTTTTTGAGCCGCGCGACTTGAGAGAGAAGAGAGGTGTTGAACACGAGGTGGCCGTGGTCTGACCTGCAGCTTCTCTCACACCACGTCTTAGCTATCGCCGTTGTACCATCGAGGCACTAATTCCTCACCGTCGCTCAGCTAGCTGCTATTAGCAGAGCACCATGGCGAAGGAAGAGGTGTACATAGTCGGAGCAGCGCGAACGGCGATAGGGAACTTCAGCGGGGCGTTCTCCAGTCTGTCGGCTGCGGAGCTGGGAGGAGCTGCCGTGAGGGAGGCGCTCGGGAGAGCCGCCGTGAAGGCGGAGCAGGTTGACGAAGTCATCATGGGGCAAGTCCTGACCGCAGGTATCTACAGCTAATCTCATCTGAACCCAAATGGGACAGATCCATTTCTGAGTAATTGCATGCAAGAAACAGCCTGTTCTTAGGGAAAGAAGGTGTCCTTATTAGAGAGGTGTCCTCAGTCAGCATTTAGTGATACCTCTATAAGATACTTTGCCCAATTCTCTCTCTCAAAATGTTCTTTGCAAGCTGATATTTTGCGGGATTATTGGGCGATGATTTTCCCTGCAGGCTGTGGGCAGAACCCGGCAAGACAGGCGGCAGTAAAGGCTGGGGTGCCGTACTCGGTGCCAGCCACCACTGTCAACATGGTGTGTGGCTCTGGACTGAAGTCAGTGGTGCTGGGCTACCAGGCCATTCTGTGTGGAGACTCCAAGGTCGTGGTGGCTGGAGGCCAGGAGAACATGTCTCAGGTTATTAATACACATTGTGTCAGACGGTGGGAGAATTATTCTAATGGATGATACAAGATGGATAAAAGCAAAAATATTTGCATGTAAAATTCATCCAATTTTGGCTCAAAATGACTCCCAGTGAATGTCACGTGATCATATTATTTACTTCTACACATTACTAGGTGACGGAAAAGTTAAGGCAAATTATGCATATGCGGAGCATTTTCATATCACACCAATTAATTTGAGATATATTTTCTTTCTGATGCAGTCTCCCCACTGTGCCAATGTGAGGGGAGGAGTGAAATTTGGAGACCTTTCTCTGATGGACTCCATGATGCAAGACGGCCTCACCTGTGCCTTTGCCGACTGTCACATGGGGATAACGGCAGAGAACGTGGCGCGACAGAAGACCCTGTCTCGCCAGGAACAAGACCAGTTCTCAGCCAAGTCCCAGAACAAGGCAGAGTCAGCTCAGAAGAAGAACCTCTTCACCAAGGAAATAGTCCCAGTCTCCGTCCCTTCGAGAAAAGGTTAGCCAGACACAGTGGAACTCCTCTTTAATCTCGACACAGGAGAAAATATTGTCCATTTTAGTGAGGAATTCTTATTTCCAGTGATAATTTACATGTTAGAATAAATTGCTCTTGAGAATGGGAAAACTTTCCTATTACAGAGGTTTCCTGTTTGTAGAAAGATTGGTTTTGGGAAGAAACAGTGTGTCCAAATTCCTTGGATTTATCAATGTTTGTGTTTGTGTTACTTTACACTTTCATTGTTACGGGGCAGGCCCTGTAGTTGTGTCAACTGATGAGTTCCCGAGACACGGAACAACGTCAGAGACGCTGGGTAAACTGAGACCGGCGTTCATCAGGGACGGAACCGGGACGGTCACTGCAGGGAATGCCTCTGGTCTCAATGATGGAGCAGCTGCTGTGGTCCTGGTCTCGAAATCAGCGGCGACCGAGATTGGCTGCTCGGAGCCGCTGGCTCGCGTGGTGTCCTGGGCCCAGGCTGGAGTCGATCCTTCTGTCATGGGTCTCGGACCTATCCCTGCCGTCAGGAAGGCAGTGAGTACAATACAATATCCATTTGTTAGAAAAAGAAAGATGTTTTCCTGTGCATGGCGGTCATTTTCGCGCGTATATCCATGCGCATGCGCGGCCGCATGGCTCTCACCGCCTCATTTGTGTGTGCGTGTCTTGTTCCGCAGCTGGAGAAGGCAGGTTGGGGAGTGTGTGATGTGGACGTGTTTGAACTCAACGAAGCGTTTGCTGCCCAGTCTCTGGCGGTAGTGAGGGAACTTGGGATTGACCCTGAGAAGGTATGTAATTAGTTACTACCTCTCTCGTTATTTGTTTTACCCCAACCACCAAACACTGATCCATTTTTGCAATGGAGAAAATTATATTTCTGGTTCAGCACTTCTGTGCTAGGTATATATCATTATCATTATTATGGCAGGTGAATGTGTGTGGAGGGGCCATAGCACTGGGTCACCCAATAGGATCCAGTGGGTGCCGGATTCTAGTTACACTGCTCCACGTAATGGCCGACAGGGGAGGAAAGAGGGGTGTGGCAGCTCTCTGTATCGGAGGAGGCATGGGCATCGCCATGTGTATCGAGACACTCTAGGTAGTCAGAACCATTTTACAATCTCACAGTCAATAATGGAGTTTTCACGCTGAATTGACTACACAGCAAATATTGTCATAGACCAAAAAACAAGCACAATAACACAGTTTTTGCAGATCACAATAATATGAAATATGTATGTGCAAAATTTTTTTGCTGTTTTTTTAATGCACTTGGCTGTGTGAACATCATCTACACCTGTGAGAAGAGGGAGAGAGAGAGAGAGAGAGGGAGAGAGGTGCTGATAATGAAACTAATACAATTGTTTTTTAAAGAGTCTTACATCATCAATTGCCTCATCGAGGTCGTCGTCTTGATCGTCTGCTAATTCATCAAAGAGAACGTCTTCATCCTCTCCCGCCCCATATCCAACTTCCGTCAACTTGGCTGTCGGAGACAAGAAACAACGACGACACTCTTAGACTCAAGTTTTCAGACAGACATTACGGAATGGAAATGAAGCGAAAATGGAAGAGCAAACTATATACATAATATGGCCTCAATGAGCCATCATAGAATGTACTGCATGTGTGCAAGAAAAGGTTGCCAAGAATGGGGCATTAGAAACACCAAACTTTCGTCAACTTTGGCTGGAGCACAAAAAAAACAGATTTTTGGCCTATTCACAGTAACTGTATGTACACAATAAGCTCTTGTTTTCTGTCTACTATATATATATTATGTAGAACTAAGAGTGTCTGGAGACACAGTTTCAGACACTTAATGAACACCTGATTCGGGGAGCTCTCCGTATGTCTTGAGGTTCCTGGCCTCGTCGGGATTATAGCGAAGAATCACGTCTGCTTTAGCGTCTTGGTAGTCCCTCAGGCCAATTAGGACAATGTCTCCCTGGTTGATCCACACCTGCAGAGCGAGCAGGGTTCACGCAGAGTGACACCTCTCAATAAGGGACACCTTGATGGCGTCGAAAGCGTTATAAACTCAGAGGTTTTAGATAAGTATGGAGACAAACCAAGTGCCTTTTATAGAGAGGTGTCTCTTATTCCGAGTGTGTGTTTGACTTTAGTTAAAGTGCGAGGGTATAAATACAGCCTCCCACCTTCTTTCTGAGTTTCCCTCTGATGTGACACTGTCTCTGGGTCCCGTCGAAGCAGTAGGCCTCCAGACGACCGTTGCCAAGCATCTTGATGACCTGGGCGTACTCTTGACCGGCCTCTTTGAAGATTAGTTCCCGTTTGTCGCTCTCGTTCTCGTTTTTACCTCTCCTGCGGTTCTTTCCTCCCTTTCCTACACGACAACAGAGTCAGTTTGGCCTACCAGGAACTTCCTATCCCTACTAAGACTAATACGAAGGGAGAGAACTACAGGGAGACGTAAGGCTCTTCTTACCTTTATTCTTTGGCATGGTTGGCGCTCCGAACCCTTGCTGTACGGCGAAGAAGCTGAAGTCAGCAAGGAAGTTTGTGTGTGGCGAGCGTGCGTGTATGTGTTGCGCAACGCGCGGCATGCGTCCGTACCCCATTCTCCATACTTCCAGTCGGGTGCAAAGGTCATACGTATTTAACCCTTTCTGAACGGGGTAGCAGAAAATGGAGAAGAAAAAGAGCTTGGCGTTCGTGCAGGGAGAAGACAGCGAGAGCGACGAGGAGATCAACACGGAGCACATGACGTCGAGCATGGAGACCACTTTTCGTCAACTCACCTCGTCCTCCACTGGCGGGAGACCCGTACCTGGAGTGGTGGCCGGAGAAGGTTCGGAGACCGACGAAGAAGACGACTCGCGAGCGTCTGCGAGTGGCTCCATCAGCGAGCAGACGGACGGCAGCGGCGCAACTACTCTTCGAGTTCCCGCCATTTCGGGGCCGCAGAAGGCAGGTAGCGAGAGAAGCACTCCTCGCAGCTCCAGCAGACGCAGCTCTGGAGACTCCAGCACAACCTTCCCTCTGCCCTCGTGAGTCACGTGGCCACACACAAGTATCACGTGATCTAAGCAGTATTCCTTCCTCTCAGGTTGCTGCACAAGAAGCTCCGTGAGTGATACCATATTGTATGTAGGAGGATGAGAAAACACTCCCATTTGCATGGTAGTGTGTGCTAAGGGACAGTGTTAATGTTAATCATCAGGGGTATCCCCCCACATTGTGTGTTGTGCTGCAGGAGATAGAAACACTAGTCTGAGGAAGAACATAGTGGAGAGGGTTCTGAGGATCTACCACGCCACCTGTCGTAACCTTACCATCGTCAATGACAACCTCAGCAGAAACCAAGCCACTATTGAGGTATAGATTCCCAGCTCTTCTTGATTTACAAGGTCCTATTAATACTAATTGGAGCATTCACATGGCATGTCTACAGTTTAATTGGCTCTCTCTCTCCCTCTACTCCCCAGAAAGTGAACTCTCACCTCAAGAGGGCGGGGCAGGACCTAGAGAAGATAAACATCACCATGGAAATGACGAGCGAGGCCGTGTGTACCTTTGCCCCCACTCTCAGAATGGATGTTCCCCTCAGAGGACGCCCCCCTGCCACCAATGACCCCTCGAATTCGAGCCCCCCAGCAGGACCCCTCACTAAGACCCCTATTCTTCTCTCTAAGACTACCTAGAAAACATTTTAGGTCTTTTTGACGTGTTTCTGTTTCCATTTTAAAAAAATTATTATTACAAAAACTCACTTTACAACAAAGAATTGACTTTTACAACAAAACAGATTTTGTACGAAAGAGTTAGACACAGTGGGTGAGAAAAGAGTTAAAATCCACAGCAGCGGTTGTTTAGTGATCAGTCGGAGGGTCAGTAAGGAATCTTTGGTTTGCAGATGCTCTCCTGACACAACTGGTGTTTCAGTTGAACTCTGACCGGATCTCCCGCTGGAGGGTAGAGAAAGGCACATACCAACAATGAACTAATGAAGCTGTCTTTTTTCATCCTATCTCGCTATTTATTAATTTTACCATTTGAAAAGTTCGAGTCGGCGGAATATTCTTCCAACTGTTGCTTCTCAACCACAGAGACAAAATACTAGCAGAGAGAAATAGATGATTCCCACAGGGAACGTGGTGAGAGAGCTCACCTCAATAATGTCGGCATCACTACTTTTCAGTCCCAGCTGTTGAAGAAACTGCTTCTGTACGATGAAGAGAGAGAGAGAGAGAGAGAGAGAGAGAGATGCATGTAATTAGATTGGGACAGTGACTAACTCTAGTTTTCCGAGACTCCTCCTTTGTGGCGTTGACCTTGTGGTGTCGTATCGGAGCCGTCTCTGGAGACATGTGTCTGGACATTACGTAACAACAGACATGCTGGATTCCCCAAAATCTGTGACTCTAAATTTTACCTCAAATATCTAGGGTTGTGAAGACAGTAACTGTGGTAGTACACATATGCTGCATTGCCAGGTCTGATAGAACACTGCAGATCGAGACACAAAAATATTTTCTATTTTAAGGCTTAACTCTCCAATTTTGGCTGACCTGTGTATGTGTGTCAGGAAAGTTGTTTCATTCTGTGAAAATTGGATGCAAAATGATTGTCGAAAGGACACATTGGTCCATGAAAAAAGTGTGTTTACAAAAATGGAGTGTTTAAGAGGTACTCCACCTTTTTATCTCTAGTTCTGCTTAGAATTGGTTTGAGAAGCTCCCCCTACAACATTGTAAACAACATTGTAACCAACAACAAACGAGATCATAAACAAGGGGCGACCTCGTAGGGAGGGGTCCACACTCTGGCAGCTCCTGGACTGCAGTCCCAGAACGAGACGTAATTCTGAGACAAAACCAACGATGTAATGATGATGTAATGTGTGAATAAGGCTACCTTCATGTGGGGAGGGAGAGCTAGAGGTTTTCCTGTTCTGTTCTGGCACAACCCAACCAACTTGCACCCTAAACACAAACAACAACAACAACAAAATAGTAAACAAGATAAACTGAAAGTGAAAATGGGTATACCTAGCGATATCTTCAGGAGATAGCGGTCTTTCTCTCCACGGTATGACCTGGTGGGCACTGTCACAGACACAAACAAACAAACAAACGAGTAGACAACAGGACAACAATAAGGTAAACAAGATGATACCTGGAGTGTCCGGGGACAAACATCCACAGAACTCTCACCAGTCTACGAATCAGGCTGGAGAGTGGGACAGAAGACGGTGTTCTCGTAAAGCAAGAACTTTTTACGGAAAAGCCGGGTGTCCTCATTTCAGGGGTTCCACTATAGTCAATACATATACAGAAGCTCCGCCTACTTCTCCTGGGAGGGGTCTCCAATAATGACCAGGGTTCTCCCCTGCAGCAGACAGTAGAGGAGATCTCTGGTGCACATGTGGTCTCTGCAGAACTTGGCGAGCCCTCTGCCTGGCTTGAACCTGTATTCACCCTCCACATGGTCCAGGGAGGGCAGGAACGGTAGGGGGGCCCCTCTGCAGAGATATGCATCATGACAGATTGAATTGGTATATGTACGTTTTCGTACTTTTAGCAAGCAAGTGGGGAGAAAGACAAGCCAACCAATAATCCTAAATACTTTGACTATAGCTGGAGAGAGCAGTGGGATAAGGTGGGCTAAACTCTTCGTACTTTTAGCAAGCAAGCGGGGAGAAAGACAGGCCAACCAATAATCCTAAATACGTTTGACTATAGCTGGAGAGAGAGAGCAGTGGGATAAGGTGGGCTAAACTCTTCGTACTTTTAGCAAGCAAGCGGGGAGAAAGACAGGCCAACCAATAATCCTAAATACTTTGACTATAGCTGGAGAGAGCAGTGGGATAGGGTGGGCTAAACTGTTCGTACTTTTAGCAAGCAAGCGGGGAGAAAGACAGGCCAACCAATGATCCTAAATACTTTGACTATAGCTGGAGAGAGCAGTGGGATAGGGTGGGCTAAACTGTTTGTACTTTTAGCAAGCAAGTGGGGAGAAAGACAGGCCGACCAATAATCCTAAATACTTTGACTATAGCTGGAGAGAGCAGTGGGATAAGGTGGGCTAAACTGTTCGTACTTTTAGCAAGCAAGCGGGGAGAAAGACAGACCAACCAATAATCCTAAATACTTTGACCATAGCTGGAGAGAGCAGTGGGATAGGGTGGGCTAAACTTTTCGTACTTTTAGCAAGCAAGCGGGGAGAAAGACAGGCCAACCAATAATCCTAAATACTTTGACTATAGCTGGAGAGAGCAGTGGGATAGGGTGGGCTAAACTCGTCGTACTTTTAGCAAGCAAGCGGGGAGAAAGACAGGCCAACCAAGGATCCTAAATACTTTGACTATAGTTGGAGAGAGCAGTGGGATAGGGTGGGCTAAACTGTTCGTACTTTTAGCAAGCAAGCGGGGAGAAAGACAGGCCAACCAATAATCCTAAATACTTTGACTATAGCTGGAGAGAGCAGTGGGATAAGGTGGGCTAAACTGTTCGTACTTTTAGCAAGCAAGCGGGGAGAAAGACAGGCCAACCAATAATCCTGAATACTTTGACTATAGCTGGAGAGAGCAGTGGGATAGGGTGGGCTAAACTGTTCGTACTTTTAGCAAGCAAACGGGGAGAAAGACAGACCAACCAATAATCCTGAATACTTTGATTATAGCTGGAGAGAGCAGTGGGATAGGGTGGGCTAAACTGTTCGTACTTTTAGCAAGCAAGCGGGGAGAAAGACAGACCAACCAATAATCCTGAATACTTTGACTATAGCTGGAGAGTGCAGTGCCTTCAACGATAGAAAAAGAAGGTGAAAGGGGTGTACCTGGGAAGATAGACAATCTGAGGACATCTCAATCCCTTGTAAGGAGAAGGCAGAAGACTGGAGGGAGAGAAGGTCATCTCACGAGAGGTGACCACACTGCTCGCCATAGATTGCTGGGCTGGAGGGAAAGGGTTAAATTGTTATCACACAGAACTAAACATAATCGCCAAGGAAAACTCACATCTTGCAGGAGATGTGAAGACATCCAAAGAATTTGTATGATGTATAGTTGGTGTTCCAATAGGGAGTGTCACAGGGGGCGGAGTCTTGGTCCGAACCTTGACCTCCGACTGAAAGCTCTGTGTTGGTGTGATTGAATCCTGTTGCCTTGACGATGACAACGACTCCAGTTGGCCACACCCAGCAGCGGCAGTTTCTTCCAGCGGAGAGAAACTTGCGTTTTCTATCAACTCTGTTGTTGCCCCTCCCTCCATCCTACCAGCCAGTATCAGTGAGTCGTGAATCGAGGAGAGTTCAACTGGACGCTGTCCCGTTTCCCGATCATCGACCAGGCCCAAAACCTGTTTTTCTTGTTGTTGTCCCACAGTGGAACTGGTTATTGTCCTGTTCGGGGAGGTACTGCTGCTGAGTAGCAGAGAGCTTTGGGCGGGGCTTGACGAGGTCAGCAGGTGGGTGTGGTCACCGTCCGATCTCGACTCCGCCTCTACTGTACTGGATCTAGGGGAATTCCCCGGAGTGAATTCCTGAAAATAAGAGGACAAACTTTTTAGTCACACTTCTCGTTATTTGCACAGGTGCAGGTGTGCAGTTTTCTCACTTTCACTTACTTTTCCGCAAAAGGAGGTTTATTTGTTGTTTCATTCAAATGCAGTGTGAACTATACCTGTGGTGTATGGAAGCCGGGACTGTTTCCACTAGTGTACTCTCCACTGGACAGAACCTGCGATAATCCCCCTCCTCCCCCTTCCCTCTCCTCCGCCCCTGTTATCACCGGCAGCAGACGAGGTTCCCCGGAGAGAGTGCTGTGGTCCAGTTCGTAATACGCAGCTAGAGGAGTGGAGAGATTGTCTGGTAGTAGCGGGGCACACGTCGTTACGGCTGGATTCAAGTAGAGCGGACATCTGGGGAGGAAGAGACGTAGAGATAACTATTGGTGGGTGAACATACGCATCATTTCACGTGCAGTCGGGTTGGGACTTGTCTGCTAAGGAAAACCTACTTGTTCAGAGCATTGGAATCTTCGGCAAAGGTCTTGTCGAACCCCCCGTGAGAGGTCAAAAGGTCAAGTTGATCAGTGGGCAGAGCCACACGTCTGCAAGGGTCCACTTCTTTGCAACACAGGACGTATGGCTTCATCTCGTGGAGATGAGGTCGTGATGACATCATCACGTTGGCGAGAACGTTCATGATTGCCACTCGTCCGAGGGTGAGAATGGAGGAATGGGGGTCTGGGAATGGGGGAATGGGAATGGAACGAAGTCTGAGCCGCGAGCTGACTCACAGAGAAACTCTGTTTCTTCTTTCTCCATCTCTAGGGCACTCTCTGATCTACTGAAGTGCTAGAAATACAATTTACATTGTTATAATTATAATTATTATACATACCACATTTAATAAATACCTTGTAAACAAAATCCATTTTCTCCATGGCAACCAGATAAGCCTTTGACGTGAGTTCCTTGAGGTCTCTGGATCACATGACAATCACGTGACTAGTCATGTGAGCACAGTGGAAAGTTGTGCAATATGTACCTCAACCGTCGCTCGAATCTTTGGACGTAGTGAGCCATAGCTCTCTGAGGCTGTGTGGAACAGACACAAGAGAAAGTCTTATATCACAGCGGACAGGTAGAGATGGAAGGAAGGAGAGATGAACGGAGAGAAAGGAAGAAGAGAACGGAAAGAGAAGGAAGGGAGAGAGAAGGAAGAGACCTGATAGTGAGATGATTCACTGGAGAGACTCAACTCAGAGCGAGGAGCTGCCAAATCAGAACAACGTCAGTCAGAGATAGGAGAGACAACAATGACCAACACTTACATTCATTGAGAGATTGTTCACTAGAGGTCTGGGACAGGAACAGTCAGCATCTGCAGTGGGGAAAGGGTTAACAGTAAACAATATGATGTAATGACCAATGAAATAGACGAGAAAGGGACACCTATGAAAAAGTACAGAGGAACAGAGGTTAGACTAGATGATGTAATGAACAAGGAGGAAAATAGATACAAATGGTAGCCGTTGTCTGACCGCTGATTCCATTGGTGTTGGTAGGAGGGGCCGGTGAATACTGAGCCATCAACTTCTGGAAACTCCGTCTCTTGCTCTCCAGTAGCAGCTGCATCTGCTGGTGACAATCCTTCTCCTGGACGAGAGAGAGAGAGAGAGAGAGAGAGAGAGAGAAGAGAGGGGGGTATATATAGTGTATAGTAGTGTATATACGTACCATTTCTCTCGTGAGTGATTCCATGATCGTCTTCATCTCTGTCATGCCACTCTCCACGACGGAAGGGTCACGTTCGGGAACATTCTCCTTGCTGAAGTCAAACTACACATCCAGACATGCTAGTCATAAGACTACTAAAACAGCTCGTTAGCTCACCTCTTTGTAGAGAGATGAAGACTCTGTGTTCTCAGCAGTCCACCCCTCCTGACTGATCAACTCTAAGCATACATAGTTTACTAAAAATTACCGACAGTTTACTGGGATATACTAGAGATTACTGACAGTTTACTAGGGTATACTAGCTCACCTTTGGTGAACTCTAAGTCGGCAAGGCGGTGTTCCACGTCTTTTCCAAAAACCTTGTGATTGCCACAACACAACATTTTTGTCACCTGAAGGGTATTATAATTTCACCTCAGTTGAAAATTCATGAATGCCAGCATGTCACTTGTGTATATACATACTATAATGGGGAACACACCTCTGAAAATTTCTCCAGTAGATCAGTGAAGTTGTCTGTGATCTTCCTGAAGTGTGGGTAGGATGGAAAGAGAGCATGGTGGGAAATTGGTGAGTGTGGGTGTGTGTGTGTGTGTGAGTGTGTGAGGTGGGATGAAAGGGAGGAAGACCAACTTGAGGCTGGAAGTGATGTAGCTGATGGCAAACTGCCTCACGTAACCTCTGGCATTGATGTCATACAGACTGAAGTAGTGGACCTACAAGACATAAATGGAGGTACGCTATAATTGCATTATTTGTGTGTATAGTTCTCTCACATAGGCATAGAGGCCATCCATTCTCTCTGATAGCACCATTTGGGTGTCTTCGCAGAACGAAAAACAACTGAAGAGAAACAATAGATAGTTTTACAAACAAACTTCTCTTAAAATCCTCCCCTTCTGTCCCTTATTCAGTACATTAGTACGGGGCAGAACCAAGTGTCCTAAATCCTCCCCTTCTGTCCCTTATTCAGTACATTAGTACGGGGCAGAACCAAGTGTCCTAAATGGTGTCCTTCTAACAAGCTGTTTCTCTTATTTTTTCCTCACCCTCCAGTTAGTGCCCTCTGCATATCACTGGACATGATCCGAACGGAGAACGAACTGGTGTTGAACAAACCATCTCCCCCTTCCGGCTTCACCATCTGTGCATTACATAATCATTACATCACGTGAAGTCATGTGACGGTGTCTCTAATGCAAAAAAGTGGGTGGGGCTAGCTGTCCATTACCAAATATGCATACTGCGTTCTCAAAACTTTATACACATGTGTACTGTGCTCATTAGTCATAAAAGGGCTAGTGTACTAGTTACGTAGCTATATGTACTACTACGCAGACTAGAGGTAGCGACACATGTCTGGCTGGCAGATAATATTATTGTAGCACAGGCTACCAGGCATTGTGGAAACTTTGGTTTATACATCTGTGAACTCTAGTGAACAGTGGCCGGAGCGTCGCTTGTTCGATTCCTCACCACAGGAACGGGGCCCACATGCTCCGAGAACTCGCTGACGAGAATGAAGTCACGCGCCCTCTTCTGAGGCTCCGTGCCTCTCCCTCCCCGTCTCCTCCCTCTGCTCTGAGCTCCCGTCTCTTCCTCCTCCATTCTGCCTCCCCGTACTGAGGCCGAGAGAGGGGCAACAAGACAAGTCTGCAAAGGTCAAAGTTTGCAGTGCTGTAAAAACACGACACCGAATGCGCATGCGCGTGTTCCGCGACAGCTCACGTGACACCTGGCGGGAAAGTCGCGCGAAAACTAGCTGGTTGTGCTGACAAGCTACTCCTCGTATCTCTGGGTGATATTATTATGGTAGATGTGCTGCTGTACGGAGATCTGGTGGACCCTTTCTTCCCCGTGGCCCCCGAGGAAGACGACGAATGTTTGCCCGAAGACCGAGCAACTGTAAGATAACCAACCGCCTAGCTTCCTACCTACTGTGGTTAGATGACACCTCTTCTCTTTGTCCTCTTAGCGAGGGTCTCCCCCTCGGACTGAAGACCACAGAGAACTGGATGAAACGAGAAAAAAGGTACAGTTTACTGTGGTTCACACCCCATCAATCCCCTGTCTCTTGATCTGTTGTGTTGGCAGGTGGCAGAGCTGAGTGAGCAGAACGGTGCTCTGAGAAAGAACATATCCTGTCTCTTCAAGACGGCCAAGCTGGAACTGGGCAGGAAAATTGCCACCATCACCTCACTGGAGAAGAGGCAAGCCTTTTTGCCTCTGTTGAAGGAAATGATTTAAATTTCCAACTTTGTCCTTCCGTTAGAGTTCAGATGCTCCAAGCTGTGATATCTCACGCCATTCACAACAAACGTCCCTCGTCCCAACCCCCCACATCCTGCCCCCCTACTTCGGCGACCCCTGCAATCAACATGTCTATTAACAAGACACCGGAGCCTACTCCAGACTCACACCCAACTACTACTTCAGTTTCTGTGGGAAATACTACAACGTTGAAGACTCGCGGAGGCAGTAGTAGAGAGAAAGGACGGAGGGGAAGTTATCGCGATTGTCAACTCGCAAGAGAAGGTCCAGTAGAGGGTCAGACCCACGAGATCGAGAGATAAGTCAACGGAGGAAGAGGGGGCGGAGGGAGGGAGAGGCGGAAAGAAAGAAGAGGGAGACTGAAGGGGGGGAGAGAAAGTTCACGGAGGTCAAGATATGAGAACAAAGAGAACGCCACTCCAGCTTCTTCGGTCACCTCTGACTCAGCAGACACCCCAGTTTATACTGATACCACAGCTTCAGTTGATACTCCAGTTTACCCCACTCCACCACACCCCGATACAGTTATTACTCCACTCTACCCCGACATCCTGACTTCTACTCAGCCTTCTACGGTTACTCCACCCCATCCAGATCCAGATAACTCCGCCCCTGAACCAAACAATCTATCACAACTAGTGACCCAATCTATGCTGGCTACATCCCCTGGTGACATTCCAACACTGGACAGACTAACTCAGTCTGAAGACGAAGTGATTGAAGCAGCTGGCGAACTAGAAGAAGTGATTGAAGCAGCTGGCGAACTAGAAGAAGTGATTGAAGCAGCTGACGAACTAGAAGAAGTGATTGAAGCAGCTAGTGAACTAGAAGAAGTGATTGAAGCAGCTGGCGAACTAGAAGTGATTGAAGCAGCTAGTGAACTAGAAGAAGTGATTGAAGCAGCTAGTGAACCCTCTGAAAACGGGTCAGTGGAGACAACAGGTGGTCCATCTGAAATGCTGTTACTTGAGCCTCGGACTAAAGACCAGTCTGGTGGGACCTTTCACCCCACATATTTCAGTGGTGACGAAGATGACATCATTGACATTCTGGTAGACAGAGAAGAGGGAGAGATTTCTGAGGACGACCGGGAATTTTTGGCCCCCTCGACCCCCTCGAGGTTAGATATTCGGCCCCCTACCCCCTCCAGCTCTCCGCACAAGACTGAAGCGCCTGAGAGACGAAGAAGAGGAGAGAGGAGAGAGAGTGAACTGCCACCCAGGAAAAGAAGGTTGGTCGCCAGTGACTCTGTCAGAAGGAGAGAGGAAGAGGAACGGTTACATCGCCGAAGATCCGATCGCGGCTGCTGTCGTGTCGGAGTCCCAGATTCGGATCCACATCGGGACCGGCACTCTCGAAGTAGCGGTGATCGATGCAGTCATGGTCGGTGTCGGGGCAAGTCATCTCGCTCTCCTCCTCATCCACCGCGGGAGAAAAGATTGCACCCCCCATCTCTCCCTCACCACCCCTATCATCATCATCATAGATTACCTCACAGCCGGAGACACTAAGTCTCTTTCAGCTTTCAGTTTATAGCCACACGTTTTTAATTTTTCATATATACCCAAACCCAGTTTTATATTATAATTATAGTCATGTTTATTGTGCCTGTATAATACTCTTTATATATATGTACATTATTTATTATACTTCATTTTTTAGTGTTCAAGTCCATAATAAAACTTCATAAATTTTGGCAGAATAATAAATACAAAATGAAGGGGGGTGTTCTGATGACAATAGACAGCTAAGTTAATTCAGCGATAATTTTCTCCTATATAACACAACATGATGTACATGAAACATACATACATACACACATACAGTGGAGCCGGTAGCTTCACCACATGATGTACAATTGGCTACACACACAAACGTACATGACATGGAAACACGACCAGAAATACACGCAGACACACTGGGACAGGAATGGCTACTACTGGGACTTCATGAATGTCATCAGAGCTCTCATGGCGTAGATGAGCTCAGCCTGCATCCTGGCATCCACTGCTATGATGTTCACGTGGACCTGAGAGTGTAGTGAGAAGAGGGTTAAAAAGTGAGGGTGGCTCTAAATAGAGGTACAGTTCGAGCAGAAATCCGACAACTTGTGTACATTTTCCTATGGTGTAATGGTCCCTTGTAGACATACATTCCACACATACCTTCTCAGAAGGCTCGAGCCAGCCATGCTGCTCTGGAAGGAGACACTAGAGACCTTCTCTGGGAAACAGGCCACCATCCTTATGAAGGTCTTGAAACTTATGTCGAGGACCTGATTAACCTGTGTGTGTACCACGAGAGAGAGAGAGAGAGGGGGGGAGGAACAGAGGAGATGTTATGATAATAAGGGGAGGAGAGGGAGGCAATTGAGCCCATTTGTAACCACCTCTGACCTTGCGATACTGATAGTCGTCATGGCGAATTCCCTTTATACTGTGGATGTAGAACCAGATGGCCTCGCGGAAATTGGTCGTATCGATGTTCTTTTCCTTCCCAACACTAACAGAGAAACAAGCAGTTTTTGTAACACATACTAGCTGGCAGTTTACACAACAGCCATTACAGCTCTACACAAACATGCTTGTTTTGTCAAAGGAAGGAAGGAAGCGGATTTGCATTTTAAAGAGATGCTGAATTCGAGAAACACGAGCATTTACCCAGAAAGTTACATATCTTTTTCCACTGTGGCAAAAGATATGTCACATTCTTGGTAAATGTGACAAGAGGTAGCTCACAATTTGTAGGTCATGGAAAATGACGTGCCGAATCGACCGTCCAGCAGAGGGCAAATATCGGGGTAGAGACTGTTGAGAAATGCATAGCCATGGTCGTCCCAAGAATAATCCTGGCACACCAACGAGAGAGAGGAGAGGGAGGAGGGTGGGGTGAGGGAGTGGTAAAGAGAGGGTGGGAAAAAAGGTTTTGATAGCTATAATCACAAATGTTTGTCAAGATCTTGGCTGATAATGGCTAGACATATCGGCTCCATTCATTGGTCCTCACGGCTTCAGCTCTCAGTACGGTATTTTCCGGCCGACGACCGTTGTAAATCCTCGTGTTTGGAACTGAGTCGTACTATGTACCGTGCCAACTACGCACGGATGGGAAAAAGACGGGCGACTTGGGCTTCTGCACACTATCTACACACACACAGAAGTAGAAAAGGGTCACCGATAGTCGCTGATGTAAGACTTGATAACTACCCACCGTCTGTGCTGATAATGGAGGCAGCTCCCATGAACTGCGAGTCTCTCTGTTGTTCAGTCTCTTCGTCTGACGGGACGGAGTCCATCATCCTCAGCTTCTCCCTCAGAGTGTCTCCCAGATTACCCCCCTCTCCACTGGTACCTTGGAGGATGAGAGGAAGAGAGAGGATTATGTGGTTTGTCGCAATACTACAGTGGAACCCCTCTCTAAAGACACACCTGAAATGAGGACACCTCTCACCTTGAACAGTTCTTCCAAGCAATTTAACCCCTGAAACCTCACTAATATGACCTTTTCTTCTGACACACTGGTGTGTTTCCAGTTTTAAAAAACCGGTAATCTATAGACTGACTACATTTCACATTCACTTACTGCTGAGATAGTACTGGACCATGTACTGTCCAGTCCTGGAGTCAGTGGGAGACGAGGGAGGCTCAGGGGAGATTGGCCCCGAGTCTGTCTGCGTCGATTCCGACCCCGAATTCTCTCTCCTCCGGCCGAGACCGAGGGCGGGGTTAGTGAGACATCCCGGGTGTGCCGACGGAAACTCCGCCCCCTCCAATGACGTCATCATGACCTCGTAGAGTGTGTCTATCTCTGGAGTGAGACCGCACGAGAGTGCAAAACTGGAGAGGGAGTGAAAGTGGGCCATCACTACCACCGCGTGGGCGAGCTCCGACACGGACCAACTGTCGCTACCTCGCAGGAGATTCTGAAGAGGAGAGAAAGAGTTAAATGAAAGAGAGTTTGAGGTGAATTATTCAGGTGGAACAGGGTTAAAAATAAAACAGGAAAGGGTTAAACTCGCATCAGGAAACCACGGAAGTGGACATAAGTGATACACAAACAGCACAAACAGACACCTACACATCCGCACATCAATACACACATCAATACATACACACATCCCTGTCCATGTATATATATACACACATACATCTTGCAGTCAGCAATGCAGAGACTGTGTGGCATGCCAAAAACAGCCCCTGGCAGCCTTATTTGAGTTTCCTATTGAAAACCTATTCCTCTTCTGCCAAATCCAGACACACAATAGGACACCATTGTCCTAGTACGTCCTAACCACTATACTACAGACAGCCTTTAAGAATTCCTGCGTATTTCCTTTCAAGATGCAAGGAGTATACACCACTACATCTGGGTCCAAGAAATTGGATTGGCTAACAAGGTATTGAGTAAGATTGAGTAATATGGAGAGCCAATCAACCTTCATATGGACAGGGGTGACAAGCCACGGCTGGTGTGCCAGAAGCTTGTTGACTGTGAGAAAATTGAGCATCTTGGCTGGGAGGCTTTGGATGCCTCCCTCTGTCCAGGCAGGGTCTCCTCCATTGGCCAGGAACTCTTTCTGCTGGAGTGACACCTGCGAAGAGAGAGAGAACGGAGAGAAAAGAAGAGTAAAGTATGTCGAGATTCCGTTTAGTCAAAAACACATAGAAAGCCAGTCAAAACAGGTGTCACTATGTGACTCTGTGGCGTCTGTAAGTAGGGCTGATTGTTTCAGAGCTAAAAACAGGCTTCACCTACCACAAACTTCTAAAATAGATTGCAGCATCAGCACATGGACAGAGGCCATAGTGGATCAATTAAGCTACATCAAACTTCCTGTGTGGTGTGGAATGCATGACCCCACTTCCTGTCATGTGACACACACACCTCCACTACACCTATCGCACACCTCCAAACACATACCATAAAAGGGCGGCTGGTATGCATGCCCCCCCTACCAGGGGCAAACAAGATCCTAACAAAGATACACTACAAAATTGCTACAAATTAGTACACATTTCAAGACAACAGCCAATGCATGTGGGCAGCCCCTTGCCAATTAGCTCTTCTTATGAAAGAAACCATAGAGCAATAGAGAGGACTAGTCTACATGTGATTATTAATGACCTACGGAGTTATACTCTGTCACACTCCAGCGCTAATACTTTGCCTGGGGATACAAGTGGTAAATGCTCGTTTTGGCAACATTGAGATCGAATAAAATCCCACTCCGTGTGTGTATGTATGTGAGATATGCTGTTGCAAAATTTTATGGCAGGTAATTTCTCCACTAAACAGCGTAATTCTTACCAGATAGGCACATTTGTGACGACTTGCAGCCTGTAATAGGAGAGAAACAGTGTTAATGGGAGGAAAAAGAGAGGATAAGGACTGGAAGAAGGGAGGGAGGGAGAGAGGAGGGAGAGAGAGACGAAGAGAGAGGAGGGAGGGAGGGAGGAGGGAGAGAGGAGAGGGAGAGGGGTTGGGAAGTTTACCAGAATGGCCAGGTAGTTCCTAATATGCAGGGGTAGGGTCCGTTTCCCCTCATCAGGAAATTGTGCATCTTCGTGAACTGTGGCAGATAGGAGGGGTGGTACCCCAGCACCTGGGTCACATGGGACAACCTCCCTTCTTGTACAAATGCCTCCTCGTACTGTGATTGGACCGCCCCCTGTGTAATTAGTCACAACGAGAGAGAAAAATGGACAAATCGTTTCACGAGGTACAGCAGCTCCCAAAGGTTTCAATGTTTACAGAACTGTGTTTCTCGAGACAAGGGTAGAGGGGGGAAATGTAGAACATAAAGGGTTAACTTACCAGCTCCCCAGCCATGTTCTTTCCATTCTCGTAACACACCACCTAGCAGAGGGACAGTGAGAAAGGGGTTAACCGACTTCATTATACACCAGACACAATAGCAAACACACAAGAATGTGTCAGTGTACTCAGAGTGTGTTGTTTCAGGTATTGCATCAGCCAATATCGGAGCCAGCAGAGTCCACGTACTCAATTACTGACAATAATTCCAGGGTTACCAACAGAACCCCTCCAAATATTGGGACACCGTTTGGCGGTAAACTCGTCACTAATCAGGACACCGCACTTATCGGCAAAGCTCACTGATCAGGACACCGCACTTATTGGCAAAGCTCACTGATCAGGACACCTCACTGATCAGGACATCGCACTGATCAGGACACTGCACTTATTGGCAAAGCTCACTGATCAGGACATAGGGGTTGAATGCCATTAGCCATCGAGGTATATCTACATTTCACTATTGCCCGTGGACAAATAACAGCATTGAAACCCCCATCGCTATTGGCTGTATTCACACACACACACTGGACTGTTCAGCAGGTCTAACGGCAATGATTATTAGGGGGTCACGGGGGAAAGATTGCATTTCGGGTATGGCGTGATTGGCTAATCATTGCGAGAAATGGAGCGTGAATACCATTCACTTCTTCCCACGTTCCAAGAAATAGTAGCACTAATGTAATTAGCAACAAGGAATCCTTTGTGTGCCAAGCTTTCGTACTTATCAGTGAAAAAGCTAAATAATCATGCAACATTAATACCATTGCTCATACATGGCATTGTCTACAGTATTACATCATTTTACAGGGGCAGTAATAATTTTTTTTTTATACCTCTTCTCTTGGAATGAAGGACGTGGGCCCATCAAACAGAGGCTGTGGAACTGGCACTTTGTTCAACTGTGGAGGAAATAATATCCCAGTGAAACCAAAAATGATTTTCTCAACAGGTGTACTTGAGAGTGCAGGTCTTAGTAGCACAAACCACATCTTTTCAAAGTTTAGTAGTCATCAACACCTCTTGCAGGCTTATGGGCCGCAGTTTACGTATTTCGCGGTCAGCTATCTAGACTAACTCCCACACGACGCCGTCCCAGCATTAGATCACCGTTTACCGAGCTCGAGCTGAGACTAGCTGGGCGGACCCACCTTCGCATCTTCAAGGAGTTTTCCCATCCGCTGGCGGATGTCCACGAACGGCGCGTTCGAGCGGAGAGCCAGCGCCCTACATACGTGCTCGCGGAGCAGTTTCTTCGCTTCTTCCCCTCCCTCCTTCTCCTCTTCCCGCCACCTGGTGAAGGCGCGCTCCAGCCTGTCCATGACCAGCGAGCGACTTTGCTCGTCGCGTCTGGCCAGCGAGTCCAGGAGCACGAACCGACCGCACTCCGTAAAGTCTTCGTCTTCTTCGAAATCCCCGTTCATTCCGACGTGGTTCTCCGTCATCGTCAGCCTCGATTTCTCCGACTGATCCTACAGACGGGTGTTTGGACAGACAAAATTGCACGATTCATGGCGGCTGCGCAATCCCAATAATGTCACGCTATTAAAAATTTAACCCCTGAGTCACGGCAAGATCATGTGATTGCGTTATATACTCGACTCATGTGTATTATTCATCAACCCATTGAGCTCTCTTGTTGTGGCTACCATCAAGACTTAGCTCGTTTGCAGCCCCTAGATCACCCCATCGGAGCGAGCGAATAAGTGAGTGAGCGAAGCTCTGCATTTACTACTAGGGAAACTGAAGGCTCGGAGAATAGCAATGTCGGATCAAGACTTCACCTATCAGTTCCGCCTCATCCTCCTGGGAGACAGTACTGTGGGCAAGTCCAGTATACTCCGCCAGTTCAAGGAGGGGACTCATTTCCCAGACATCAGTCTCACCGTGGGCGTCGACTTCCACGCCAAGCTCGTGCACGTGTCCGGAAATCCCATAAAGCTCCAGCTATGGGACACGGCGGGGCAGGATCGCTTCAGAGCCATAGTAAGGGCATACTACCGTAACGCAGTCGGCGGGCTGCTCGTGTTCGACATCTGCAACCGGGAATCGTTTGCCAATGTCGGGACTTGGCTGGATGACGCGCAGAGGAACGCGGAGCCGCACAAACCCGTGTTTGTCCTGGTGGGGAACAAAACCGACCAGGCCAAGTACAGAGAGGTGTCACGTGACGATGCCGTTCTCTTTGCTAGCCAGCACGGTATGGACTACTACGAAACCTCGGCCAAGAACGGCTCAAACGTGGAAGAGGTGTTTCACAAGCTAGCTGAGAAAATCTTCACGTTGGTCGACGACGGAGTAATTAGAGTCGAAGAGGGCTGGGACGGAGTGAAGAAAGGTAGCAGGAAAGAATCGAGTTCCACTCACTCGCTGCAAAGAAACGGAAGTGGGAGACATGGGAGAACCGTAACTCTGACTTCGGGGCAAAGCTGGAGAGGAGAAGGGGCATCGAACGGAGGACAACGAGGACCACAGGAGAGAAAGAAGTGCTGCTAGATCGCGACTTTCTCCACATTTTTCGTGTTTTTGTGACTCAGTGTTGATAGGGTTAAAGACACGTTTCTGGCACAACCGTCTGAGTTTGGACGGGGTTAAAAGTCCACTTGGTTGGGTCGGCGACTTTTTATCAGTTTCTGGAATCGTCTTTTCAAGTCATAATTATATATTATTATTCTTCAAAATATACATGTGATTCGTGTGATTGCTTTAGAGATTTGTATAATAATGCAGTCAGTTTTATGGTATTTATAATTAACATATAAACTTTATCGTTGCTGGGCGAGACCTTCACACTCTCTGACTTACTATATAGGCATGTGTATGAACTAGTGCTTTGGGCAGCTACGGTGATAACAAGTTCTAAGTGGGGAGACCTCGAATTTCGCCCTCACTGAAGCAGTGTATGTCTCTGTGCTAGCTCTCACTCTCTCGTGGAGGCTGTGAGAGGAAAGTTTGTGATGGCGTTCTGAAGATTGAGAAGTCACCAACAAACTCTGAGGGTCTGGTTGATCAGTCGATTCGTTGGGGGAAGCTCCTCTAATTATACAGTCGTGATTGGTTGTCTCCTCCACCTCCAGTGCAGGGCCAAGTTGAACACCCAGAAGTAGAGCAACGCTGGAAGCTTTTTGACTAGCATTGGCCACAGCTTGCTGGAACACTTGTCGCCTGTAAGAACAAATGACAGAGACTCGATTCAACAGCTACACTTCAGAACTCTTAAGAGAGAGTTGGTAGCACTCCTGGACACAAAGCCACCACAGGGGCGGCTATTGTCCAGCTACATTTGTCTCTCTCAATTGAAGGGTTGTAGCTGGAGTGAGGTAATCACCTCTTTTCTGCTCTGTGTGCAGGCGAGTGGAGTGGCTTAACGGCGCTGCAATGCACTGTGGAGTCCATTTTTGTAACGAGCACGTTTCTAGCCGTCTCGCACGCCTGTAGACTTTCCGTCTGGGCCACCAGGTCCGTTCGAACCCTCACTTCTTCTTCGCAGACGCGTGAAACGTCCGTAGATTTCTCAACGTTCTTCTCCTTGATGCCGTTGTTGCGAAGAACCTGTAGAACATACTCGCTTCTTCTCTTGACACTCGTCTGAGCAGCTTCGGCGTCCTCCTTAGTGTTGGATATGGACACCGAGAGAGAGAACAGGTCCGGCTTGCAGGCCAGCTCGCTACTCGCGTGCACCGTGATCGTCCGTCTGACGACCGCTGGTCCTCCGCGGCTGGGAATACCGTTTTTGCATAAGTTTCCGTTCGATCGGCAACCTTCCATTAACTTTTCTTTCCCTGGTGAGTGGTTCTGTGCACTTCACTCGTCTGTATTCTATTTAGTGCGCACTACAAAAGTTTGGTTTCTATAGAAACACAGCCTCCGCCCACGTGGTTTCCATAGTAACACAGCTGCACCCACCACAACTGCTTCTCTGCCTGCAGCACAACTTCACCAGAAGATGGACAAAAGGCACTGGTGGTTCGCCTCCAAGCTGCAGGAGACCTTCCACTTCGGCGGCTTCGACAACCCCACGCTCCTGGAGGATTTCCTCACGGACCCCGACGTCACCGAGCTCATCAACTCCTTCCTCGCCCCGGGCGAGCCCCGCAAGCTCTTCTTCTACTGTGACGGGCCCACGCCGCTCAAGGATGGGTCCAGCTTCAACTATGTGACGTTGGCTCCGACCGTGTCCCCCCGCAGGCTCCACGCGACTTCTGAGCTCACTAGCGAAGCATTGAACCGCGGGAAAGTTTGCCTTTACGTCCTCCGTGCAGACGCGAGCAACGAAGTCGAGCCGTCGCAGATGGAACGAGAGCTGTTCTGCGGAGAGATCCGTCACTCGGCGCTCTCCTCTCTCGCGGCGCTACTGTGCGAAGCCTACAACCCCCTCCTCCACTCGCAAAAGGACTGGGGCGAGTGCAGCGAGACTGCTGTCGCGAGCTTTTTGGAAACCTTCGATCGGCATTCGTCGGCTCTGCTGGAGACAGCGAGTCTCTCGCAGGCGCGGCGACAGCTTCTCCCGCGGCCGTCGGCGGAGCTGCAGGCGATGCAGCAGCACAGGCGAACCAACGTCTTGAGTATGGACATGGTGGCGGAGTGCGAGGAGCTGGTGGGGGGGTGCATCAACTACATCGAGGGCCTTCTCCTTGAGGCCACAGACGAGAGGTAGTTTTACCAAACACTTTACAAGAACACCAGGATTTTGCAGTATACTATTAAACTGTGGTGCAGACAGAGTTACTTATGCCTGTATAGATTTTGTTGGTTTGCAAAGCAGATTAGTCCACTCTTATACATATTCTGTGCCATCTCTATATACAGGATGGAGAACCCTCACTCAAGCCCTCTGTCAGAGGTGAGCAAATGGCGACAGAGACACGGCCTCCTCACTGCAGTGGTGGAGCAGCTCAAGACCAAGGAAATGAGAGGTGTCTTCACGCTCCTGGTGGCTGCCAAGTCCAGACTCCTCAAGAAATGGAAGACCACCGACTCACAGTAATCATACCATTATCATGAGCCAAATACGCACCATTATCATGAGCCCCAATACGCAGCATGGGAATTTTGCAAGGTTTTTACATGCAAATTCAAGAACATTTTGTCACCAAACAAAAGCAGCAGCATCGTAATGATGACTGGATTGTGTGTTGGTCTCTCTCATGTGCAGATTAACAGATGCCTTCAACACTGCTCGTGACCGTGTCAGATATTTGGAAAGTCTCTCTCCACATTTGGAGGCACTGGAGGCCAGCCCCTCCCTCCCCACCCTCCTCTCCTCACTCCTCCCTGCCCTCGTGGCCGGCGTGAAGAAGATGGAAGGAATCTCCAGAGCCTTGGCTCGCTCAGGCTACCTCGGAATCCTGTTTACCAAGGTAAAGAGAGATCGCAAAAACCCCGAAATAAGGGCTAATATGGATGTTTTCTTCTGACCCATTGGTGTACAGTTGCTACCTGTTAACATTTTAAGAGTAATTATTTATTTCCCTCATTGGTGCAGATATCCAATGCTATTTTGAGGATCTGCACAGCCAGTATTAAGACCTACTGCACCAGGCAGGACGAGAAAGACAAATTCTGGGACATTCTATCATCAGTTATTGAGGCCAAAGCAAAGAGTAACAAGGAGCATCCTTTTCTCACTCACCTCTCCCTCTGTCTTCAGGTAATGCATCTCGCACGAGCAAATCACTTCATTGCTGCATGAATATTACACTTCCGCGTGTCATTACCTGCCACACCATGCAAAATGTGCACCATAGTCACTTGCAGTTTTTAACCCACTGTCTCCGGCATTTCATACGTACAAAGGTGGCGTCTCATTTCACGGAGAGTCTCCACCATGTCAGAGATGTTCTCACTGCACAGCCTCTCTTCACTTTCTCTCACACTCCAACCGTCGCACGATCCAGTGTCTCCCTCAGTGGAGGGCACAAGAAGACCTCAACCTCCACTGGCGACAAGACCAACCAACCGGCAGCTCCCGGCTCCCTTAAACTGACTCTGACTTCAGTTCCTCCTGGTGGTGCTGCCTCGCCCGGTATTGTGACTGGAGTAGCTCTGACACACGTGGATCAGATCACGACATGTCTCGGGGAAATGAACTGCCGAGTATCGCAAGTGATGGAGATTGTATCCACGCTGGCACAGTTCCAGAGTATAGTCGGCTCTCTCAGAGGTCTTCCTAGGGCATCGGGACTGTGGGAGTCCGACCCCCCATTTGTCAAGACCTCTTTAGAGGGGGATAACGACAGGGACATCCCCGTTCCGGAGGGCTCGGTGAATGCCAGTGACTACTTGGAGCAGGTGTTTGCCAGGAACGAATATCCCTTGCCTCCTCTGAAAAGTGAGGAAACAGTGGAGAAACCAGAGATTGCGAAAGAGGTATACACAAAGTACTATAATTGGATTCCATTGCTAATGACAAATTTGTCAATTTTGCTCCAGGAGAGCTCTCCTGTTCCACGTCTGCAGCCCGAGACTGAGACCACACCCCCACAGATTACTACCCCTCCCCCTCCTCCATCTCCCGGTGACAGTATAGCGGAGCACGTCTGGTGCAGATGTACGGCCATATTCACTGCCCTGGTCTCGGAGTGTCCACGTGGATCCTCTGATGTGTTCAGTGTCAGCAGAGGACAATCTCTAACTGTCTTTCCAACTGCCTACACCTCTTACACCACCCACGTCTCCTCTCTTGAAACAGACATCTCCAACTACTTGGCGGTCAGTGCCTCTTTCTCTTTATGACTAGCCTTGGGACTGAAACTCTCCGCTGTCTGTATATATAATTATGTCTTTTGTTTGTGTGGTGCAGTGCATATACTGGGCTGTCAAATCTTAATTTCTTTCAGGATGCAGTACCAAAGATGCCGTCATCTCTGTCTGCATTGGACGTAATTGAGAGGTATGAAATTATGCACGAGTGAGAGAGATAAGTTCTATCTTGTGTCTCTTGCCAAGGTTTTCTGGTCTCAGAGAGAGAGAAGTGATAGGAAAGGCTCTCCAGTCAGCCACTTCTAGAGCATTCACCAAATACTCAGCTGAGCTTGAAGAAATCAAGACAATCTACGAGAAGCAGAAGGTAAATCTTTGACAAAAATGTACGGTGGAACCCCTCTAATCTGACACTATAAGGACAGAAGACGGTGTCTATATTAGTGAGGTGTCCTTATTTCTGGAGCATATATGCGTGAAGAACTGTTCTTGGGGAAATAAAATGTGTCTTTAATTAGAGAAGTGTCCTCATTTCTGGTGTGTCCTTAGAGAGTGGTTCCACTGTATCTAGTACCTCAGTTTTGCAGGGTCGACCCCCTGTCTCCCCCTCTCTCCCTCCCATTGCGGGAACGTTGTCATGGGTACGAGAGATGCTGGTCAGGGTCACCAAACCAATGGACACCTTCAAGACAAATTCTCGCATCATGCAATCTGTGGTGAGTACGAGAAATCTTCGGAATGTTTGATGATGCTCTCTTACATACACCTGCAATACAACAAGCTGTGTATGTCTTGCAAGTTACAAAACTTGCAAAAGGCTAACCTTCCCCCAACAAGTTTGTGTATAATGCTTTACAATGTGTATATATGCGTATAATGTGGGCTGTATAATTGTTCTCCTCATACGTGTGCAGGCATCTCTGGAGGTGTGCAAGCTACATAACCAGTTGTCCACGGCTCTCCTGATGCAAGACACGCTCCTCATCTCTCGCTGGCACATGGCCATCGAGACAGCTACGATGTCTCTGGGGTTGCCCCTCCTCGTTCAGGACCCCACCTGCTGCAGAGAGGGAGAGACATCGCCTCGCGTCAGAGTCAACTTTACTCAGAGGTTAATCCGAAATTCCACTAGTAGAGCATTTATAGTTTGATGAATCATAAGATTCAAAGAGAGAGAGAGCTTCCTTCAGGGAAAGGTTGCGAAGCATCCCACTAGCTGAAGCATCCCACTGTATACTGTGTTGTTATATATTGTGTGTGTGTGTTATTGCCTTGGATCTTTACTGCAGTCTGTTGGACGTGATAGCGGAGTCAAAAGCTCTGGGAGTGGCTGGGGTACAAATACCTCAAGTTGCTAAAGTCATCCTTTCACAGGTAGACACTCACAAATAATGCCATTTGTTTAGCACGACACGACATGGCACAAGGTTAAACCTGCAAGGCAAACTGGGTGCACGAAAATAGTGTACTCGTGCCACTGCATAAATTTGATGCTGTTAAGATCCTGTGGTGTGTTGTACACTCACACACAGGAGGTGAGGATGAAGAGGTTCAGACAGAGTCTGGAGCAAGTGGTGGGTGACCTGTACTCAGCTCTGGACTCTCTGGATGTCCCTCTCAGGACACTCCTCCTCTCACACATCGACTACCTCCACAGGTATATTACACTCCTGCCGTACACAGAGGTCCAGCAAACAATAAAGTTTGTAAAGTTGCTACACCAAATGTCTCATTTGGCGAACTGACTCCCCAGATTTTTAATAATATGATGTTAGTTTTGTTGTATTTCGTATTTCTCTACTGCCACCCATCTCATTTATGCTAACGCCCATCCCTACCTACCACCATAACTACCATACTTGGCCACTGTATATATGTACCCAGGTGCCTTCTTCCTGGCTGCTCTACCATCACGTGGAGCACTCTAAATATCGACGCGTACCTCCACCAAGCCACGTCGGCCGTGGCCTCATTCCAGACCACCGTGTCCCGGATCCGTTCCATACTGGACGATCACGTGTACTCTGTACTCCGAGACATTGCGAAATCCTCGCTCTACGACGTGGAGCTCGCCACCAGCAGGAAATGGGTCAGAACATAAAATCCTCAGATACTCAATCCACGTTTTTCTCTATAGCTGACTTTTACGTACTTTCTCCAATTGTTTAGGCTCCTCGTGATTTCTCAGACGCAATGAAGAGCTCGGTGGTGAGGAGGATGTCTGAAGTGAAAGATGCTGTAGCGGGGATCCAGAGAGCGGTCCTGGCGTGTATCGAGGTAGCGAGGGAGGGGAGGGGGAGGGGGAGGAGGGGTTCGCGGGTCTGAGGAGTAATCTGGTCCTAGCTGGAGTGGAGCGAGACCCGGGGAAGACAGACAGACAGAAAACTGGGCCAAAGGTCTCGAAACTGCAGAGTTCTCGGTCAACTAGAGCTAATACCACCACTGCTAGTAGTCAAGGAGGGTGGAGAGAGAGGGAGCGGGGATGGAGGGTCACGGGGGATGTCGGGGAGGGAGGAGAAGCCACCCTCAGCTACGTCTGTGGACTGGTCTTCAATGCAGTGACTGAAAAGGTGGCTCTCTCTCTCTGCCAGCTGAGCACGGGGCTCAGGAGGAAAAGAGGCGAAGGAGATGGAGGAGTGGAAGAATCTTCTGAGAATCGCGTAATTGGACAATTGAGTCGATCGTTTGTGGATCTATCCGGTCAGCGGACCGTGAGGTTTCAAGATTCTCAAACTGTCGACAACCCGAGAGCTGTGTTGGCCGAGTTCTCTCACAGAAATCGTTCCAAGTTCTCTGAAACTGTTCCTCAGTTGCAGCTGGAGGCCCGAGTCCTGCTGTCTGTTCCACGACTCCTCATGAAACCACGTCTCTCCGATATTCACTCCCTCTTCTACCAGCTCACCTCTCTCCTCCTCTCCCTCCTCAACGAGCTGTGCTGGTGGGCGGGGCCAGGGGCGGGGCGAGAGTTCCTGGTCATGTGGGATGCCAGTGGAGCTGTGGCTCTCATCCACTCAGAAATATTTGAGAGATTCAGAGGTGAGAGTGCAAGTACATACACAGTGTATGTACATAGAGGCTGAGAATCTCCATTAAATATAATACCAAGTTTTTTTGCAAGTGTGATTTGACTGCAACAAAAGTCTTCATTGCTAACCACGTGTGGCGAAATTGTCCCAAGTTTTGATTGTCGTTTCCCTTGTGGGCATATTTCTAACACTTTTTTCCTCTTCCCTGTTATTCCGCAGACCTGGAGCCAGTGGTAGACCTTGCCATATCGTCGCTGAGAGTCCATGACTTTCTCTGGAGGGAAGACATGCACGCAGCCTACCAGAGCTTCCTTCAGACCCAGCCCACTCTGGCAGCCTGCTGTCAGCACATTGAGAGGCTTAGTGATGTGGAGAAAGAGGTTGGTTTATATGTACACGTGTAAATATCCACCCCACCCCTCTCTCTTTTCTCTCTCTTCTCTATTATTTTACTTTCCCTCATTCTCTTGTTGCTTGCTCAGCTGGGGAAGATCCCGGCACTATTCAGCATCGGTCCACTCCAACTCTCCTCTCTCCCAGTCACACACTCCCTGTCTGCCCTCACTCTGGCCTGGAAACTGACATATGCCTCATTTCTTCACGATCAAGCCCAGGTAACCTCTCCCTCTCTCCCTATATGCACGTGCAACAAACATCAAGAGTGTCATGGGTTCGAATCCCACCCAGGGCAGCTCTTCTTCTTTTCTTTGAAAAGGAAACAGTTGTCCTGGGTGTAGTTGACTTGTTTGCCTTGCCTTGCCTTGCCTTGCCTTTCTACCTCGTTACCAAGTTGTTGAGACATGCAGTATGCCCCTATAGTCCTCCCTGGGACCTCTGGTGGAGAGTAGACGACGGATGACCCAAACCCTCCAGCAGCCCGTGGAGACTCTGGTCCAGTTGAGAGACATCCTCCAACTGCTGCTCGACATACAAGACCTGCAGAGCTCCATCCACGACCAGTACTCTCCCGTGGAGAACATCTACTCTCTACTCCGGTCAGAGGGGACCTAGTGGTATAGTGTATTCGCATTCATTCAAAATTCATACGTTTGTCCTAGTGCATGCTCACGAAAAATAACTCTTTCTGAACAGTCATTTCATGCCAGTGTGAATAACTATTTTTGCCAAGATTTTGTGGGTTAAACGAAACCATATTTTTTTCATTTCGCTGACATGTTTCGCTCATACGTACATACACATAATACTATAGGCAGTACACTAACATGTGCATGTATATATGCATATATACTGTTGTATACCACAGACAGTACATGGAGTCCTTGCCACGGAGCGAGGTGGTAGAGGTGGACTCGCTGAGAGGAGACTGGGAGGATCTGGTGACACTAGCTGACACCACTCGCCACCTCCTCCTCCACGACCAGAGGCACATCCACCAGAGGGAGACAGAGAAACAGGTTCATCTGCTTACATTCACACTCCCTCTGAACCTATTTCAAAGGACACTCCAAATAAGAAGACCTCTCTATAAAGCAGTGCTATTACTTTCACTTAGTTTGACATATGAATAAAGGACACCAAGTTTTCACTGTCCCAATGTGTCCTTTATAAGGCGGTCCCACTACATACCTCATACTGTACATACAACACTCTCATTCTCTACAGGTGAGGGAGCTCCAAATGGAGATGATAAAGTTCAGCAACAGTTTCGACACTGAGGGACCTCTGGTACCAGGACTCTCTCCACATGCTGCCATTCAGAGACTGGGTACATACATACTTCTATAGCTACTGAGGAGTTGTGCGTCTTTTTCACTTTTTCGAAGTGCATGAACGACTCCCGTTCCTCACACACACACACACAACTCAGAGTCATTCTCGCGGCAGTGTGAAGAGCTGGAGGCCCACCGACAGCTGCTGACATCGGTCCAGACCCTCCTCTCCCTCCCCGTCTCCTCCTACCCCGAGCTGGACCAGACACGAGGCGATCTCTTACATCTCCACTCCCTCTACTCCAGCTACAGCCAGTTCCTCCAGTTTGACCAGCAGTACGTCTGCTAGTACCAGCTCTCTCCTGCTCCATTTCACCTGCTCTTAAAAAGCAATTGATGATGCAGCACAAAACACTTCCAAATCATACAGCACACACTGTGTACCCCTGTTTTCTTCCCTTTCTGTGGGTTAGCTTGCTCCCCCCTCACTCTCCCAGGTTTCGCGGGACCCTGTGGCTGAACGTGCAGCTATCGGAGGCGGAGGAGACTCTGGAGAGACTGTGGGAGGAGACCGCCCGTCTGCCTCCCGCCCAGCAGGAGTGGAGTCCGACCATTCAACTGAGGGCTGACATCTGCCAGTACAGAGACCTCCTCCCTCTCCTCGCACGGCTTCACTCTCGGGTACGATGGGGGAGCCCCTGTAATCAGTACTCGTTATGGCACCCGTAGTACTGGGACATAGAATGTATGCACCAAATGCGGACATTACAAACAATGTATATGTACAAGTCTCAAGAAAGCAACAAGTAAATTTGAAGGCCTAAGGGTAATATTTTAGAGCCGCCATACATAGGCCTACTAATTGAAGAGAATTAAAATGAACCTGTTATATAAGGCGACATAACTTTGTGTTCCATTTGTAGGAGGTTCGCAACAGGCACTGGCTGCAGGTGATGCGTGTCACCAACTGTACATTTCAACTGGAGGGCTCCGCATTCAGACTGTCGCATATCCTCGACGCCTCTCTCCTCTTGTGAGTGACATACAGTAGTCAGTTCAAGATATTAATGCCAGTGGATTAATATACCACTGGAGCCTTGTGCAAAGTGTTATTCAGAAGCAAAGGGATGTAAGATCTGATCTGCAGGTATGAGGATGAGGTGGAGAAGATAGTCAGATGTGCACAGAGCGAACTGAAACTGGAGAACGAGTTTCACGCCATTGAGGAGAGCTGGAACGAACAGGTATGTTGACATTACTTGGACGAGCAAACGTGAGTGCGAAATTTCAGCACTTTTACGCTTATTTAGAACAACAGTCTATGTTAAAAAAAACTTGAAATGTCGTTCAATTCGGACTACTTGGTGGACTCAATCTGCTTGCCATGAAATCCTTTCTTCACCAGGTGCTCCAGTTTGCCTCCTACAAAGGTTTAGGAGAGGTGCTACTGGACGTGGATCACACCCACTCTCTCTGCGAGGGACTGGAGGGGGCGGGGCTAAGACTGGCCAGAATGCTCGTCTCTGATCATGTGACCCACATGAGGGATGATGTCATGCAGTGGGCGGGGCGACTTGCCAGAGTTCACGACCTTCTAACCCAGGTACAATTATACATACCCCATAATCAAGTGTTCATAAAAATGTCTACAAGTTTATTATGAGCTTAGTTTTTGCAGGGCTTATATAAATGTACATTGTGATTTGTAATACTGACATGATCAATATTGAAAAACGTGTAGTTGTTAGAAACCAGCATGAAAATATTATTACTGTTCTTGCAGTGGCTGGAAGTTCAAGAACTGTGGAGGCAACTGGAATCCGTTTTCTTCTCTTCCTCCTCCTCTCTCTCCTTTCTGGACGAGACGACTCGTTTCAAGGCCCTCACCTCCTCGTGGGTGGAGCTAATGTCCTCCGCCCGGGTGTCACCGGGTGTGGTGGAGTGTTGTGAGAGTGGGGAGGAGGGGAGAGGTGCCACCCTCCTCCGACTGAGTCAGGAACTGGAACTCTGCAAGAATTCCCTCTCCCCATACCTCCTCTCAAAACGACAGGTGACCTCAAAAACGATAAATGCCCACGCACACTTGTAACAAACATATTCACAATTTTAACTTGGTGGTGCGGTGTGTGTAAGGCTACTCTATACCCTTGCATATGAGCAACAGACTTGGTGAAGTTTGTGTTTATGGTTGGATATTTCGCTGATTGTGTGCAGTAACTTATAGACTGACATGTATATACCTCTGTAGGCGTTTCCGAGGTTTTTCTTCCTGACTGACGATGCCCTGCTAGACATTCTCTCCTCGCCTCTCTCCCCCTCTTCCCTCGCTCCCCACCTCCCCTCCCTCTTCACCAGCACACGCTCACTCCTCACACCCTCACCTCCATCCACTGCTAACGAAGGGGAGAACCCTCTAATTATCACGGCAGTGGAATCAGAAGAACTTGAGCGACTGGACCTGAATCAACCAGTGAGTAAATACATTCTCTCTGAGCACATTCAATAGCTACCACATGCCTCAAGTAGAACTGTTTGTATGCATCACACAAGTTAGACAACAGTATTGTGTACTACCACAGGAGTTATAGAATTCAGTTTGCAACAGATATCTTTCTATAAACCAGTCTTAAGAGACAAAGTCGCACGCTGTCAACTGGTTCTGCCATCTCGTGTGCCTCAGGTGACTGTGTGTGGAGAGGTGGAGGTGTGGCTGTCTCTCCTCCTCTCCTCCATCCGTTCCTCCCTCTCCTCCCTCCTGGCCTCCTCCCTGGGCACCGAGGACCTCCTCCAACCGCACCTCCCCTGCCAGATTGCCTCTCTCAACCTCTTCCTCAAATGGACCTCTGACACAGAGCTGGTCAGTCTTTGATGAAAGCCACATTGGAATTTAGATGATTGTCTGTTTGTGCACTGCACTCTCCAGCTGTAGTACATGTGTTGACTGTTTATTATTGGCCTGTCTTTTCCCCTACTTGCTTGCTAAAAGAACGAAAAGTTTACATACCCCTCTATTGTCCACAAATATTATTACGCTATAATTCCCTCCTCACATGCAGGCTCTGTCCCAGTGTCGCTACGACAAACGAGCTCTCCCAGGGCTGAGGTCAAAGTTCACCACCTCTGTCGTGGGGAAACTGACGCACATGTTGATGAGAAGTCGTCGCAAGGCCGGAGACCACACCTCGTCGTCTCATCATCATCATCTTGTTCTTCCCTGCCAGCAGCTGAGACTACAGGCTATGACTGCAGTCAGTCTGAGCTCTTCACTTGCATACCTCTCTCTCTGATTTCTCTTCACTTACCTCTCTCTCTCTCTGATTTCTCTCGCTATAGTAGGAGGCTCCACTGGTAATATAGTAGAACCTCCAATTAAAGGACACTCCAATTAATGTACACTCTGATTAGTGGACACAGTAGGACACTATTGAGTCCGAAATGTTCATTTCCTGTCATCCTATAAAAGACAGAAATTCCCCAGTCCCAACGTGTCCATTACTACTATTTCCCCCTCCCCTCTCATTAGTTGGCGGTGTGGTTGAGGGACGTAACAGACAGCCTGTGTCACCACACCGTTCATAGTGGGGCAGACTTTGAGTGGCAGCGCTACCCTCGCCTCTACGTGTCTCCAGACTCCGCCCACCCCGACACGCCCCCCTCGCCACACCCCCAGATTGAGCTGAGGTGTCTTCACATGAGAATGGGGTATGGGTTTGAGTACGCGGGATGTCGGGCCCTCCCTGCCTTCACCTCTCGAATGAACAACTACATGATATCCCTCATGCAGGTATATACTACTACATACTTAACAGTCAGCTACTGTCTATGATGGCTGTTTTCAACCGTCAAAAGTGTGTTTAATGAAAACTAGGACCAAAAGAACTGCCCCTTGAAGCAATGTACTTACGACACCATGTAAAATAGCAAGTGCTCATGAAGTGAATGACTCAGTCTGGTTCCCATGACTCCATACAGGGAATGGAATCGGGACTGCACAGTATGGTATCGGGACCGCGTGACTCGGGGAAGGAGGAGGTGGTACGCGGAGTGGCCCAGCTGATGGGGAGGTTCCTGTTCGTTTATCACTGCACCGCCCACTCAGACACTCACACACTAGCTCGTGTCATGGAGGGTCTTGCACAGGTAATGGTATATTCATACTTTAGTCAATTAGTATAATATACCTACCACCAGAGTGGAGGCTGGGGCTGCCTGAGTGATATTCACTCCCTCCCACGGAGTACTCTGAGCGTCGTGTGCCACATGGTCGAAGCTGTTAGCTCCGCTCTTCAAGACAAACTGACTACCTTCAAGACACCATCTGGCAGAGAGGTATAATTATACATTGTACGTGGTGGGATATGGTGGGTAGCGTAGGGGGTCTGGGCGGCCCAAACTTTTCGTACTTTTAGTGAGGGTGTTGGGGGAAGTCAGAACTGATCTCCTTACTCCAGACTCAGCTGAAACCAGGAATGCTGGTAGTGTTCACCTCGACAGGCCACACCCCCTGGCCCCTCCCACCCAGTCTAGCTCCGATATTCCGCACCTTTCGTCTCCCTTCGCGGGACCCCGCCCTCTTCCTCCTGGCCCGCTGCACAGCTCTCGGACTGCGATCCCCCCGTCAGCTCTCCTGTAAACTGGCTTCTCTTCATCACATGGCCAACAGTCAGCTGTGAGCTACACTCTTCATGTTACCTATTTTTGGCTGGTAGTATGCTAACCACAGTGTATGATTGCGCTTGTATCAAAACTGGCATACCTGTCCACACTAGCTGGGCCCACTAAGACTGTAGTTATTATGAGCTAGCTTTGTTCTCTTAGGTTCATACAAACGTCAATGAGTAATTGTCTGTCATCATTTCCGTCTCTCTCTCTAACACAGAGACACAAGGCTGCCTCTCCACACCATCTCCCAAGTCTTGACAGAACTGGTGTCTTCCCAAAGAACCAGGCTGGTAGCAGGCCACACCCACCACATCAAGTCCGACGCTGGCGTCGCAGGAGGCGGAGGAAAGGGTGTGGAGGAACACTGTTCACATCGTCAGATGACTAGTGAGGATGTCCCTGTAATAATTGGGGTTAAAATTAAACCTCTGAATAAGGGACACCTTGGGGGTACGAAGTGTTACATTCACAGAGATGTTCCAAGTGTCCCTGGTCCTTATTTGGAGGTTACACAGCCTCTCTCTCTTCTCCATAAGGTCGCTCCTCACCAGTGAAGGAAGCACACACAGGGCAGAAGACAATCTCGCTGGTGACCACACCCCCTTTCACCCAGCCCCTCCCACCCTCCGCGGCTCGAGAGCACGCCGCCGTAGCTCAGCTGACATACTCCCTCCTGGCTCCTCGCTTCCCTTCTCAGGTTACACCACTGGGAAAATTTTTGTACAACTGGGCAAATTTTTATACTTAGCACGGTGCTCTTTAAAAAATTTTCACCACCAAAAAAATTTACCAGATGATAAAACCTGACTCTCAACTACATTATTTTGTAATGCAGAGAAGGGTGCGGTTTCAGCATGACGTGATGTGTACACTGTCACATTATGTAGGAGCGTGCAGTGTTTCTGGAGATGGTGAAATCCACCTTCGCTCTGGACAGCTCTGTTGTACTGACACCCCATCAGCTGGTGGGTGTGGCCAGCCAGACACAGACCCCACCCACTTCCTCTGCAACAGGAAATGATCCAGGGATCGAAAAAATTTTGCCCACAGTTGCGAAAAAGGCGGGGCTAGTTGCCACGGATACCTGGTCGGCAAAAGTGAAAGAGATACTTTCGATAGTCCAGCTAACAAGACGACACTGTAAGGTTTTAACCAGAAGTCACTGTTAAATATAGTCACAGTCATATTTTTTTCTTTTACGTACGTCACTGGTTTATATATATCCCCACAAATGTTCCTCATTTCTCCTCTGCAGTAATGCTAACTGGTGAGGCGGCTTCGGGAAAGACCACCGCTCTCAACACAGCTGCGGCCACACTCAACGCTCTCCCGTACCAGAGGTCAAAGGTCGAAATTCACCGGGTGTTTCCCGGGGTGTTTGATGACGTCTCGACTCTGATTGGTCGGTTCTCTCCTGGCGGAGTCTGGGAGGATGGAGTGGTCATCTCTCTAGTCAGGAGAGGACTCAAGGTCAGCAACTCAACAGTTATTCTCTCTCTTTCTTCTTACTGCCGACTTTAATTGAAGATCATTGGGACCTTTGTCTACATATCAAAATTGACTCTTGCAGCGATCATAATCTGACAGCATGTCTCTCTTTTGCCCAGGCCTCTTTGTCGTCAATGTGGGCGTGTCTTGATGGAACTCCGTCTGAATCCTGCCTTCATCCCCTCACTGAACTCCTCTCTGGCTCCAATGTATGTACACATGCAACTGGCAATCTCCGTTCTGTAGTGTATAGTCCAATTATGGCAATGATGTTGATCTCTTCATTTCTTGTCTTTACGTGTGTGTCGTGTGGTATAGACTCTGACCCTGCCGAGTGGCGAGAGAGTGGTGGGCGGGGCCGAGTCTGGTCTGAGACTGGTTATGGAGACTGGGAACCTGAACACTGCCACTCCAGCCTCCCTACACACCTGCGTGAGTACTAATCCTACTTCTCAGCCAAGGAGTTAGAGAATTTTCCCTTCGACCAATCAGGGTGTGGTGTTCTTTGGCTGTGATGTGTTGTCATGGAAACCGCTGATAGAGGTGTGGCTTCGTTCTCGTCACGGGAAGGAGAGGGCGTGTCTGCGGAAACAGTTGCCATTGTTCATGGGTCCGGTGGCAGCAATGGTGTGTGGAGGAGACAGGGGGAGACGCTGCTGGCACAGCGAGGTCGGACTGACACAGACCTGCCTGGCCTACCTCTCGTCTCTCCTGAATGTTAGTTAGATGAGTAAAACCCTGTTGTTGGTACATATATTATACTGTACTGACTCTGTGGTGTTTCCAGATCTACAGTGAGACTGCCGAGTCGTTTAGTCAGATACATGTGTTGAGACTTCTTGTGTTCAGCATCATATGGAGCTTTGGTGCTGTCCTGGAACCAGGTCAGTCCTTACATACTCTTCTTCATACACCCATACCCCCATTCTTCCATGCATCCATACCCCCATTCTCCCATTCTTCCATGCATCCATCCCCCCATTCCCCATTCTTCCATGCATCCATACCCCCATTCTCCCATTCCCAGGTGTAGAGAGAGAGGACTTTGGACGTCTCCTCAAATCCCTCACCAACAGTCTCCCGGATGACGACACCGTCTACTGTGTGTTTGACTACCATGTGGACGAGAGTGGGGAGTGGGACACGTGGCAGACTAGACTTCCTTCTCCTCGCACCAGAGAGACCACACCCCCTCCCGTGGACCTCCTGGGGGGTGTTCATGTCGATACCACTGACACTGTAAGACCTTAGTCCAACGAGCTAGACCCTCTCTCCCTCCATCTCTCTGTTGCAATCGCGGAAAAGCACACCCAGAGAGAGAGAAGGTCATCTGAATAGACTACATATATTATATCTCTGAACACAGTGGATCCTGTAGAACGTTTATAGTTGGTTGTGTGTCTGTTCCCTGTAGGTGAGAGTGGAACTGTTGCTGGATCTTTCCCTCTCGGCTGGAAGGAATGTGATACTAACAGGTCCCCGTGGCTCAGGCAAGACTTCCGTCTGCAAACACTTCCTCCAGGCCAGGGGTGAGTCTGCCACACCCCCCGTGGATTTGGAATGATGTAATGCTCGTTTTACCACAGCTCTGAGTCATGTGACCAGTGAGGGGGTGTGTCACCTCAGTCTGGATGGCCACGCCTCCTCGTCATGTCTCCATCGCTTCATGGAAGTTCACATGCACCACAGCCAAGGTCCGTCTTCATCCATGTGTATGTCATTCTACAGTTCATTATCAAATTCCCTGTCTTTCAACAAATCTTATATCATTTTTCATTTTAATTCCGTCATGCTTAATTTCTCTCATTCCCTGAGTCTCGTATTTCCGTTCCCATTCTCAGGTTCCACGTACAGACCACAAGACCAGAGAACTCTGCACCTCTTTATCGACGACCTCCACCTCCCACTACTGACCACACCCACTCTACAAGAAGCCACACCTCCCTCCACACACGAGGTACTAATTGCTAAATTTTTGCCCTTTTTGATCAGTCGAGTGTAAAATTCCAAATTTCCATCACAAAAATTTTTGATAAATGTGCTAAGTTTGAAAAAAACATGGTGCACCTACAATACTGAGCATTAATCATTTCCCCCTAACTGCAGTACTTGCGGCAGCTGATGGACAGCGGTGGGGTGTACTCACTAGGAAAGCCCAACACTCTGTCTACCATTGAAAACCTCTCCATCTTCACCGGATTCACCACAACCTCCTCCTCCTCACCCTACCTCCCCTCCCCTCGCCTCCTCCGACATTTCTCCATCGTTACCCTCCCCGAGTTGACCGGAGCTCCCCTGACTACAATACTCACTGACAGCCTCAGGTCGCACTGTGCCGGGAGGGCGGGGCTGGAGGCGGAGTCAGGTGGCCTATCGTCTGTTGTAGAGAAGACTGCTGCAGTTTTTCTTGAAGTGAGAGAGTCCCTAACACCCTCTGACTTGCCCGGGAGACGACATTACTTCTTCTCTCTGTCCCACATTGAATCTGCCTTCCAGGTATATGTGTGTGCAGTCTCAATAATGACCCATGTTTTGATAAAGAGATATTGATAAACCGCAATGATACTCTCTCGCTCTACCTGCCCTAGTATTACCCCCAGCTCCCACAGTCCCATATGAGTTTCAACGATTTTGCACTTTTTGCCGGCACGAGAGATATGACAAACCAACCACTCTTAATACTTTGACTATAGTTGGGAGGTGGAATGGAAACACTATCTCATCTCACCTCTCCTATAATCTCCCATCGCTGTGGTGTAATCTCTGTCCCACTAATTGCAGGGGCTCTACCACTGCCTTGGTTCCAGTTCTCGTCCCAGTGTGGGTCTCAGCTGGTACCACGAGATTACTCGCTCCCTCACTGGCCCTCTCTGCCACTCCACCGATCGCGACTGGCTCAACTCTCTCATCAACAGCATTGCTGAAACGGTGAAACATGAATCAGAGGGGGTATATAGACACAAGGCAAAAACAAAACAATGACACCCCCTTTAGAGCTGCCCTGGGTGTGACTTGTGCTAGCTGGGAGCATGGAAAATTGCAAACGACGACTTTTTCTAAATTCTCTCTGTCCTCGTCTGTCTGCAGTTGCCAGGTGGACTGCCGAAGCCACTCCCAGTCTGTCTGTCTGCCATTCCTCTGGAGATCAAACAGGGGGAGGAGCAACCACCTCTGGAGACCACACCCATCAATCAACTCGTTGAGGTAATATAGCAACTCGTACACAATCTCCTTAAGGCCAGCACACACAAGGCAACTTTGACGCTTCAACAAAAGTTGCAGCAACTCCCAAAGTATTGGTATATATGGTGGGGCCACGTTGGCCTGTAATTCTACCAGCTGAGCTACCAAAGATCCTTCCTGTGTTGGCCATGTTTGTTTTGACCACACCCCCTGCAGCTGGAGCTCCACCCAGTGATTGATTGTTACGACATTGAGGGGACGCTGCATCAATACCTGATGAGGTGCCAGCAAAGTTGGGGGGACTTCCCCCTCTCCCTCTCCTGCAATAACATCGACTACATCATAAAGTTACATCGCTGCCCTCAAACAGCCACGGTATGAGTCAATGGTTCATTAATAGCTTGTATATTGAAATTATGTACCAGTTTAACATACATGCTAATATAAAAAAATTAAAAACTCTCTTCCTCCCACTCTGTGCAGGGGTAGCTGTATTCTGTGTGGTCCTGGAGGTCAACAGCTCCACTCCCTGGCCAAGTTCTCACTCTACCTCGCCGGATACCAGCTGCACACTCTGGACTCCTCCTCCCTCCCCGCATTCTGTTCCAGTCTCAGGGCCCTGTTCCGTAGGACCGGTCTGGAACGGAAACCAATATCAGCCATCCTCACAGTGAGCACACGTCTCATCTGTTGTTTTAGTTTCCCGTGCCACAGTTGTACATGTGTGCGTGTGTGTGTGTGTTGGGCTGGTTTGAGACCAGAAATGGCAGGATCGTAGAACTGTTATATATACATGTTTGTCACTAGGAGGAGGACATGGAGAAAGTAGGAGTTCTGCAGGAACTGAACTCTCTCTTTGCCACCGGCGAACTCCCTTCCCTCTTCTCCAACGACGAAATGAGCGGAATTCTTCACGTAAGCCAACTCAGAAGAAAAAAATATGTAGAGATCTTCACCTTTGTCTATGTGAGGTTATCTGCATTCTCCTGACAGGCTCTGGGTCCGTCCATCAAGAGAGACTTTCCCAGTGAGGACACTCATCCGATGCAGTATTTCACCGCACGCATCGCACGCTACTTTCGCCTGGTCATGTGTGTCTCTCCCTCCTCTACCCTCTTCACCTCCCAGTCACAGTGAGCCTCTACTTCCTCCCCACACCTCAGTCGAACCCCTCTAATCTGGACACCAATGGACAGAAAAGTGTCCATATTAGCATGGCATCTTTATTTTAAGTTGGGGAAGGAAAAGTGTCTTTGCTTTATAAGAGAGGTGTCCTCATTGCACTGGGTGCCTCAGAGAGGTGTCCTCATTGCATGGGGTGCCTTAGAGAGGTGTCCTCATTGCATGGGGTGGCTCAGAGAGGTGTCCTCATTGCATGGGGTGCCTTAGAGAGGTGTCCTCATTGCATGGGGTGCCTCAGAGAGGTGTCCTCATTGCATGGGGTGCCTCAGAGAGGTGTCCTCATTGCATGGGGTGCCTCAGAGAGGGGCTCCACATGTATGT